ACTATCATCTGACAAAATAGTTGTCCGCGTGTGTGTGTGTGTGTGTGTGTGTGGGTGGGGAGTAAACTTTCCCTCACACAGAACGAACACCAATTTACACTTATAATTTCATCCTGTGTGTGATTCTTTATTTATTTTCTTAACAGTTTCTTAGTGAATTTCTCTAAACAGCGTCAGCGAAGTTGATTAGAGTATTAAACTAAATTATTCGAGAGAAGACGATGCAATAAGACATCACTCTTTAAAAGAAAAGCTTTTAGATGTGCTGTTTTATCGCTATTTAGAGAAATTTTAATTCACTTTAGAATTTATTACACCATTCTCTGTAATATTTCAGTGGTGTCAAAGCTTTTATTCAAATTGTACTTTTTTCTTATAACGAACGGTATAAAATAGGAGAGAAAAGATTATAACCACAGTCCCATTGCTGTTCGTGCTCTCTTAACCTTATAGAAGTAATACTTATGAAATTCTAAACGGTTTATAACAGTCAGTAATCACATTTCACAGTTTGTTTTTGTTTTACGAAGATTTCATAAGAATTTGCCATCAAAATTAGCAAAGCAAACTTTGCCAACTCTCTCTCTCTCTCTCTCTCTCTCTCTCTCTCTCTCTCTCTCTCTCTCTAAAGTGATCTAGGTTTTAATGAATAAATTTTTCAGCCTTTATTATAGGGAAGGGTCTCCGGTTAATATTAACATTAACTAAAATACAAATCTAAGGTTAAATTTTTTCGACAGTTGTCTATTTTACGGGAATAGCTGAAACTGTAAGTGACTGTTACCTGTGCCTATACTAATTAAAAAAAACTAAAAATACTCATCAGGATAATAATCGAAAAGCTTGTAGACGAAAACCTCCAGTCAGTAATAGGAGCGCTAATAAACAAACAAAAGTAGTATCATAATCGGATATCATAACTATTAGAAGCCCCAGCTTATTTCACCTGATGCTTTAAGCCTTCAGCGGGCAGGGGCTCCCTCAGCTGAATAAAATTGTTAGGCGTTAGCCAGAATACAATACCTAAGGGCTACTTTGACCCTTTAGAGGGCAAAATAGGGGGCTATGTTAGGTTAGGATGTTTAATCATCAGATTTAAGAAGTGGGGTTTTCTAGTCATCATGAAAGCCACATATCAATAAATGTACATATTTAGTGGAGTAATCATAATGATCTATGAGAAACTTCGCTTAGTTGTAATCGACAGATCATTGTATTATGTAGATTTTTAAAAAGAAACTGATAGCACGTTGGTATGATAACAATGACAGGTCAAAACACTGAAACACACCAAACATGTTCAGCTTAAGGAAACATAGTAGTCTCAGGGTCGCCAGGATAGTATTGGTAGGGCATCTTCCCGCGTTCGGGATTATTGATACTCATGTTGTGGTCGTATGTCTTGGCTCACATATCCTGTTTTGGCGGGCTCGGATAAGTCCCTTGCAAAGCAGTAGGTTATCCCCTCACACACACCCTCGTGATAAATGGTTCTCGGTATCCTCAGCTGGGTCAGTAAAAGTGAAGAAAATATAATTAATGACGTGTTTATCTCCACCTTGGCCGCCCTCTCGTATAAAGAAGGCAATTGTAGTCCTCGACTGTGAAGGTGTTAAGGAACCTAAAAAGAAGACCAGTTGCACAGATGTCGATGCTCAGGCGAGTACCCGGGACTTGTTTGGGAGAGGGGTGGAGAAAGGCACAGCTACATTCACTGTAGTGAAGACCCCACTCGAGGGAAGGCCTCATTGAACACTTTATTACCAAAGTATTTCCCGTTGCCTTTGTGCACTGTTGAGCACTGTATGATCACATGAGGATCGCAAGATTTAGTTCTGGTCAAAATATAATCGACTAACTCACCAACAACCGTCTAATTCTACCAATCCTAAAACGCCACGCAGAATCACGATTTTCTTTAAGAACATAATTTTATTGTTTTCTTGACCTACGGAAAGGCTACTATAACATTTCATAGCCTGAAAATACATCCCTGACTAATTACAGTACACAGCCTACGGTACCAGAATGTGGCGGTTGAGAAGATACAGCGATCGCCTTGTGTCTTAAGGGTCATTGGTTCGTGTCCAAGGCAACTCCAGTTCACCCAGGTGTAAATGGGTGCCTAACCTTACAACTGGTAAGCGATGGCGCTCGAATGGACTACGGGCCACGCCGTCTCTTTGTGGGCTGTATATCCACACTCAAGGTCACCGAGAGTGCCGACGGGTCCCAGGGCCTCAGGACCTATATGCATGCACAGATTCATGTCAACAGTTGAAATTTGTGATGCATTGGGCTCGGTTAGGGGATTACTTCCCCCGGGACCCCCGGGAGAGGAGGGCTGAAGGGCCCGCTTGACAGAAAAAAAACACATTAGCTATACCGATTAAAAATTTAATCAAAATTACATAATATAAAACATATACAGTGTACTATAGATTTATAATTTTGCTTTATATTTTCAGTTATTTAATCTATTACTTTATTAGTGACACTTGAAATAATTTCACCCTTTATACTTTCTTTAATCAATTGAATCGTTTAAGCTTTAGATGTAATTTATATACATGTTTATTTATAATCGAGCTTTAGAATTATTTAAACCCCTTACTTCTAAATTGAAGGTGAAAAGTATTTTGGCGAAGAGAAGTCTGACCTTGTTATTTTACAGATAAAAATCTTTAATTTTCTTCAAACTTCCCACACTGCCACTGGCAGGCCGTAATGTCTATGGAACTATCTTTCGTGTAGGATTGTAAAAGACAATAAGATGCTGTCGCCAGAATATATATCCCATAGGGTATCATAATATTAATTTAAGTGTGGTGTGTATGTACAGTCGGGGTCAAAAGTCTTGAACGCTTGACAGTATTTGGCATGTAAGTACCCGAAGATCTTAGATCTTAGGTATTAAGGATATTTGTATCCCATTTTGTGGTTCAGGCATAATATGTGATGACAAGCCGTGTTATTAGTATATCCCGATGTTGGCCAGTGACCTGTGCCTGTGTGGGCTAATCCCCGTAAAAAAAAAAAAATATATATATATATATATATATATATATATATATATATATATATATATATATATATATATATATATATATATATATATATATATATATATATATATATATATATATAGATAGATAGATAGATAGATAGATAGATAGATAGATAGATAGATAGATAGATAGATAGATAGATAAAATATCAATATCTATATATATCTATATCTATATATATATCTATTATCTATTATCTATTGTATAATCTATTATCTATTATCTAATATATATTATATATATCTATTATATATATATATATGTATATATATATATTTATATATATATATATATATATATATATATATATATATATATATATATATATATATATATATATATATAAAACTCAGAAGTAGATGCCAGATATTGCTAAGTGTTCAAGACTTTTGACCCCGACTGTACAACGCATCCTCACTTTATTTACACCAGTCTCATGTAAAGAGTGGCAAGTCGTTAACATACAGCTTATACATTAGAGTTGTATAGTATACAGTGTTTGCTAAGGACCTCTTCTGCAGCATTCTCAGAGGAGAATTGTAGAGTTATAAATATTGTGAAATTCTGGAGAGGTCGTGAAGTTTTAGTCATTTTGCCCCCCCCCCCCACAACCTTTCTACAAAAGACTACGTTACTCAAGTTTCACAGAAGATCCCTGGCGTCTAGTACTACATTTGACCCTGATTTGTGATACCAGGATTATCTCTCCTGTACATTCATTCTCCAGAATCAATTGTATATCCTCAATAGGGTGGGGGGGTGGGCCCTTCTCCCCCTCCTGCAACTCCCCTTCCTCCTCCTCCTTGAAAGATTCTCTTTTACGCGTCTGTTTTGACAAGCAAATTAATTTTAAAGAAAAATAAAACATAGTAAAACGTAAACATATTGGTGATAAGAGTTGTAAAATATCGAACAGCAACCAAGACCCATCGATAAAGAAAATCCGTGATATAGCCAGCAGGCGTCCCTGAACAGAGCAGTGTCACGTGCAAGGTAGGTCACAGTCTCAGGTTGATAAGTTATCGAGTTAACTGTGTAATCAAGCCTTATCTTGAAGATCTCCCTTGACATTATAGTGTAATCACTCGTAATCGAGGATTCACGATATCAAGCAAATCGCGAAGCGTCACCACCTTCGAAAATAGGATCAACGGGGAGAAGGGTGATAGGAGAAGCAATAGCAGCATTACAGCGACCAACAGGTGGCGTTAACGTTGAAAGCTGTGATACCGTCAAAGTAATAATAGCAGCAGCAACAACAAGGATAGTATCAACAACATAGTTTAACAATAATAACGCTGATTGTGGCAGCACAACTTATTGTGTGATCGTTGACTTAACTGATGTTCACGGACTGTACGTATTCTTGGTAGGACATGTGCAGGTGATTGTTTTTTGTTTGTTTTTTGTACAGGAGAAGAAAAGAAGAAAATAATGATGAGCTTATTTGTAAACATGACAGCGATGTACTGACTGTTGAAACTTGCCTCTTTATGGTGTAAGTGTAGGGTGGGGATGAGTGCCAAGTAAGAGGAAATGAGGTAAAATACATTATATTCATCCAAGTTACGAAAACAGAATGTTTGGCTTAGAGCAATAATTGTTTTTCATTTTAATATTTGAATTTATTTAGAGACACATTGATTAATCTTGAAGACACTGAAGAGTTAATTGTAGCTGTCGTGGTATATCGACAATAAACTTTTAACCTGAATTATAAAAATAATTTCCTAATTCTGATCATACATAGACGAGAAAATTACCGGTACTCAGAAACCATAACATGTTATGGACAATTGACAAATACAGAGTTTATTTGTGATCAGATCTTCTGGACTTACCGCAGTAATCTTTTCATCTTCATCCTTATCTGGATATGAAGAGCAGTACTGTTCTTATCGATATTATCAAACCCGATATGAGTGGTGGAAACAGAGACAGTGAGGTCACATAATCATTCACACCAACACCCTCACGTCTCGCACGCACTAAGACAATAAATATACTCGCACAACTCAACGTTGCATCAGCATCGAGATCAAGTTCTCTCCTTCAGGGCGTGAGTGACATTTAATTTTACTTTTTCAGTGAGTCAGTCAGTGACCAAGTGACGTATAGGGTTGCTGACACAAAATAAAAAGACGTGTTTCACAGCTGACAAGAGCCTTATGTTTAGCTTAGTTTTCTTCCTCTAACTCACCCTTAGTATCTTTTTAATCTATCTTATAATTAAATTTACGATTAATATTTTTGTCTTTAACTGAATGATCGCTCTCGATTTACTTCCCTTTCTCTGTCGCATTGCTGTTTTAACACTCTCTCTCTCTCTCTCTCTCAATTTTCAGTGAGTACTTTCTGTGGACCTCTCCATACTGTTTATAACAACACAATGAGCGTCTTAGTTAAGTTTACACAACATGCATACAAATGAAACTGAGATGAAGAACATTCCTTTGATGCTGATATCTGTTCAGCAAGCACACAAACTGTACACAGCGTTTGTAGGGGAGAAATCCACTACAATACTCCCTCCTTCCCTCCAGGCGGTGTAGGTGACTTGTTGTCTGCAGGGTTGCATGGCACATATGAGGCGGAACGGGCGGTGCATGCCTCATGTGGGACATAACGGCAGGGCGTGGATGAGCCGGCCGCTAGTGGAGGCAACTGTCTAAACACACAAGATCTGTGGGAGAAGAGAGGGAGAAAGAGGGTTGTGGATGCAATGAATGTTGTGCTTCCCTCACGGCAGGTACAGAGTCGTCAGATGCGCCTGCTGGGGTGTGTGGGCCTGGGTCAGGGGCAGGGGCTGCTTCAGCAGAAGCGGATGAGGGCTCGTGACAGCAGCTGGGTCCACGACAGTAGCAGGGTGCAGGACAGTAGCAGGGAGTACCTGAGGGAGAAAAGAGGGGTGTGTGGGTCCGCACTCAGGCGCATGGGCCGCGTCGGGAGCAGAGGCTGCATCAGGAGAAGCAGCAGAGGGTACTGCTGGGCCGGGGGCGGCGTCTGAGGCAGGACAGGTGTGTTGGTCCGCACTCAGGCGCATGGGCCGCGTCGGGAGCAGGGGCTGCATCAGGAGAAGCGGCAGGGGGTACTGCTGGGTCGGGGACGGCGTCTCAGGCAGGACTGGTGTGTTGGGGTCGGTAGGACATGGTGCTTGGGGCAGGAATAGGAGCTGCTGTCTGCTTAGAGTAGCAGAGCTGCTCTAGGGTGTCTAACCTGCGGTTTAGAGACAGTAGCTGTAGAGCCGATGAGAGCTGCCTCTGGGTAGATAAGCCAGTCTTCCATGTTGCTTGAAGACTGGGAGCGTGATCTGTTTCTCCTCCATCCTGTGTGAGTGCGAATCTCCGGGGGTCACCATTTGTGGAGTATGAGATGTTTTGTTCTCTCTCAGGATGGGTTGGAGAAAGGAAACTCACAATGTGCTCTCTGTATACATGTTGTATTGGATGTACAATGCAGCTTGGTGCTGGGAAGGCAGCATGGTTACAAGCGTGATGTAGAGAGAGCTGGTTGGTGACGGTGCTCAGAGGAGGACAGCTTGTGGGTTGCCATGCTCGCCGGCGGGAGCGAGGACCGCCAGGCAGGCGGAGGAGGAGGAGGTGTTGCTGGCTGGTTGGTGTAGGTAGAAAGAGAGCAGTCACCACGAGGTCAGGTCTTTTATAGCGGAGGTAGGCGTGGGTAGATAGTTGACCTCCGTGATGTATGGCGGCGCTGGTTGACCCAGACCACGAGGCACACACTGTGGAATTCGCGGGGTCGGCTACTCAGCGACAAACAGCGTTTGTAGGGGAGAAATCCACTGCAGTACGTAAACACTCAACTTTACCAGAACCTTTGAACTTTAAACTCCAAGAATTGCATTGTAATATTTTCGCAATGCACAGTATTTTTTTTTTTTTATATATATCTCCTTAAGGCCTTTAGTTAATTTGCATTACTTTCAATTTACAGGAATCGCGATGGGTACCGTGAAGAGTGTGGTGGCCTTGCAGGTGTTGTCATTGCTCTTCGTTCCAGCAATATCTACCACTGACGTCACGCCCACAGAAGACAACATAGATCCAGGTATTTTGCGTAGTTATATACTGTAAATTCATGTAAATCATTTACTTGTGAAAGACACTGTATTGCTTCTGTTTGCAAATAATTATACACGAGCATAAACACCAACAGAGAAAATTCATTCTCATTGTCTCCTTACGAAGTTGCATTTGTTAAGACTTGGAGAACGCTGTGATCTCCATGACCTAGCTCATAATAGCGAGTGGTCGGACATCAAGATAAAAGAAACTGATTCACATTCGTTCACCTTGATACTATACCAGCTTTTAGACTGAACCCCTTCATGCTCAAGTCAAATTAATAAATGTGTAGAATAAGGGCTTCTCCATATTACTTAGGATGTTGTAACAGTGTCTTCTTCAGGAATTATATTAGTGCTCCTTTTTTTTTTCAATGGGATATGAATCGTGTTAGGAAGATAGGGATGAAGGATAAGGAACTCTCAAAAATAATTTACAACTCGGCGCCGCTAAACAATATCGGTTTGGGGGATTTCACTGATGCGCTATTAATTTGTTATTTGGTTTCACTTGTAAGTAAAGGACACTGTGTCGGAACTCTGAAACGGGTAGTTCGAATACAGTATGCCTAAGAGACAGTAAGGGGTCATAGTTGTTAATATCCCACATTCAATTTCTTTTAAAAAAAATACTGTTCACTATGTACAGTATTCTCATTCATTACCTAGTGAGTGATAAATCTATTCTGATATTTTTTTCGTGATGTAAGTACTTTATCTCACGTTTTGTTTGGTTAGAAGGTTCATATACTGTAGTGTACTCTGTCAGCGATCTACTAGTATGTTGATGACAGCACACACACGCACACACACTACTACTACTTTGCTGTCACTCGGAATCGAGTATGACGATCATCCAGCTATGATACAATGATGTGAGTTTTTAAGGATGTCACCTTCGTTGGAGAGTTTTGGGGTGACTCGAGAGGCTGATATGGGATTGACAGGGCCGTCCACAGATGTTAAACTTGTGGAGGACTACATCTAGTGCGTGAGGGGCAGCAACGGCGTCTTTCCGGCGCTGGCGCTTATCTACCTTGGTATACAGTCGGGCTAACTTGAAAGTATTGTCATCTACTCGTGTGGTGCTCCTCCAAGCGTTACGCTGTGGAGTGATTGTCTCTCAGGTGAGGGGGTCGATTTGGCAGTTTTTCAGGTTTGTCTTAGACTATCCTTATACCTTTTTCGTTGTCCGCCATCGTTACGTTTACCATGCTGGTAACAGGGCCAGTCCAACATAGTTCTTCATGTAAAATGGTAGCCTTGATGCTCCTTCAGTTGACATCAGTGTGATGCTCCTACAGTTGGTGTCAGTGAGAATACTGGCATTTGTTCTCTTGTCTTCCCAGCGAACTCGGAGGATGGAACGTAGACTACGTTGGTGAAAATTTTCAAACGCCTTTAGGTGCCTCCTGTATGTTGTTATACAGCAGGGTGGGGAGGACCACTGCTTGATACACAAGCAGCTTTGTAGTTAATTTTAGCTCCTTACAGCTGAAGACACGGGTATGGAGTCTGCCACAGGCTTGAGATACACATCTGATCCGATGTTGAATCTCTTCATCGATGTCCGCGATGGTGGACAGGTGGGAGCCAATTACTGGAAGTGGGTGACATTTGAGAGAGTATTACTGTTAAGCTGGTTGGATGGTGGAGGTGTGGTTGAACCAGAGGCAGGCTGAAAGAGAATCTGCATGCATTCACCTCAAGGCCGAAGTGTGCATATGCATCTGCATAGGTGTTCAGGTTCTCCTGTAGATCGCGTTTAGTGCGAGTGACGAGTATGAGGTCGTCTGCATACTGAAGTTCAGTGATGGAAGCGGCCAACACTTTTGTTCTTGCCTGAAATCGTCTTATGTTGAAAAGTCCATTAATCCGGTACTGGATGTCCACCCCACTGGCTAAATTGGCACTGGCACGAGTAAGAAAGCCAGCCAAGAAAATGGAAAGAAAGTTGGTGCCAGTACACATCCTTATTTTGTCCCTGTTTGGATGGGGAAGAACTCAGACTGGGTGCCATTGTGTAGGACACTGCAGTTGATGCCATCGTGGAGTTGCCTCACAATGGCAATGAATTTTGGTGGCCAGCCAAAACGACAGAGTCCACTAGAGGGCTTCCCTGTTGACCAAGTCGAAGGCCTTAGTAAGGTTGACGAAGGCCATGTACAAGTTTCGGCGCTGTTCTCTGCACTTTTCCTGCGTCTGGTGGACAGCAAAGATCTTATCAATGGTGCCTCATCAGGGCACAGGTCAATGATCCACATCAGGGCCTGTGGGCAAAATATATAATACTACTACTACTACTACTACTACTACTACTACTACTACTAATAATAATAATAATAATAATAATAATAATAATAATAATAATAATAATAATAATAATAATAATAATAATAATAATAATAATAATAATAAAGCCACATTTAGATTCTGGGAGGAAGTTTCCTGCCTTAGGAAGAAGTCTGTTTAGGAGGATTCGGGCGATAATCTTGCTGGTTGCAGACGCAGTGAGATCCCACAGTAATTGCCACAGTCTCACTGGTCTCCCTTATTCTTCTAAATAATGACGATCGAGGCGTCTTTAAGATCTTGGGGGAAATCCTCCTTCTCCCATATATTTTCCAGGAGCGAGTGGAGACGGCTGGTAAGCAGAGGTCCTCCTACTTTATACACCTCGGCTGGGATTCCATCAGGCCCTGTGGCTTTGTTATTTTTCACCTGCTTGATGGCAGTAGCTACTTCATCCAGGGATGGAGGATAGCTAAGGTGGGTCAGCTCTGGGTGCTGAGGAACCTGTTGAGTAGTCATGACATCCACATCGGTGTTTCGCTTGATCAGCGAAAGGTAATGCTCTTTCCAGCACTGATGGATTCCTTCCTCATCTTCGATTAGGGAGTTACCGTCGGATGAGCGGAGGAGGGTCACACCATGAGAAGTTGGGCCATATTTTGTTTTGGCGGAATTGAAAAATTCACGCATCTTGTGTTGATCTGCAAGTTTTTGCGTTTCACATGCTATATTTTTCAAATATTTGTTCTTTAGATTGGAAAGCTTGTGCTGGGCCACAGCTTTCTTCTTGTGGAAGGTATCAGCTTTTATCCCAGACTGAGGGTTGTTCTGCCAGTCAGTTAAGGTGGCACGTTTATCATCCACGAGTATGTTGGTTTCCAGGTCATTTTCATCAAACCAATCTTGGTGTTTTCTTTTGATCAGGCCGAGTGTCTCCTTACAGGTTTTTGTGATAACAGCTTTGATGGTACCTCATTCAGCACCGGGATTTTGGTTGTTTGTTGTTGGGTTGTTTATCAGCCCATCGCTGATCTGCTATCTGAAAGCATGTGCTACTGCTGGATCTTCCAGTTGCTTGATGTTAAAGCCTCTTCTGGAGGCTTGTAGCCTTCACCATTTTGGGGTGACGTATCTGTATCCTAGTGGTCTGAGCCACGCATGGATTGGGTGATGAGGACATCTTGGCGATCTCTTTCTCTGACAATGATGTAATCAATGAGATGCCAATGTTTGGGTCGTGGGTGTTGCCAAGAACCCTTGTTCTTGTCGGCCTGCCTAAACAAGGTGTTGGTGATAGTGAGGTTGTGTGCAGCACACTTGCTAAGGAGGAGTTGGCCGTTGGGATTACACTTGCCTACTCCATTTCTCGCTATGATTCCCTGCCATATGTCAGCATCTCTGCCAACTCTGGCATTGAAGTCACCTAGAAGCACAACCTTATAGAGGTTAGCAGTCTGTGAAGATCAGCGTAAAAGGCCTCTTTGATGTCATTCTCTGCATCCAGTGTTGGGACTTACGCACAGATGAAGAAGGCATAATGTGAGTAATTCAATGGGACTTGGAGCATGCACACACACACATACACACACACACGTCGTTAAAGGATAATTTCTAGTTCAAAGGTGGACCAAATTCTGTATTTGAACTAATTTGTGTACAGATAACAAGAGAAATTGTTATTGTAACGTCAACTATAAACCCTTATGGTGACCAAAAAGTAAAAACATTAGCAAGTTCTGGGATTTCTTGTATGCATTATTAAAAAGTGACAAATTTACCAAGGACATTGTAATGTACTTCTTGTGACAAGTAAAGTTGCATTCTCCACTTTGTTACCCTACAGGTGCAGGCACTTCCATTGCAGACTTACTAGAGAAGGAACTGCATAATTATCTCAGCCAATATGACGGCCTCAGCATCCCCTCATTACCGACATTGGACATAGGAAATGAGGATCTATACAGGTAAGGCTAGTGGGGTAACGAAGGTTTATGTGGTTAAGGGAGGATAGTGAACTAAGGAACTCTAATGAATATAAGGGAACTTTTCTTTGTTTCCACAAGAAAAATGGTTCATTACCTGGGAGTCCTGATTTACATTACAGTACCGTATATGAAACTGTTAATAATAATATCTGAAAAGGTGAGAGGAGCCTACATACAGTAACTCCTCTTCTCCTCCCTTCAGCATTGCCCTCAGCCTCAACAACCTCACACTGACTGGCGTGAGCAACGTGAATGTCACCGAATTCAAACATCAGGGTAACCACAGACATCCAGGCAACCAAACCCTGCGGATTATCTTGCCAAAGATAAGCCTCACAGTTGGCAGCTATATATCCGAGGGCCATCTTCTCAACCTGCCTTTCAACGGAGAAGGACCTATGAGGTGAGCACAACCTTTGTTTTCATACTCTTACATTATTGTAATTTAGATGTGAGATAGTGCAACCTGAATATGAAACACCTTCCAGATTGACTAGCTGAGTAATGGAGATATAGTTTTCTGGCAGTGGTTTAAATTTTCATACATTGCAGCTTTTGGTGTAAGAGTAGTAGTTTAGGTGATGTTACATGGAAAGGATGAGCATTTCGGTAAAGAGATGCAAAAAGCCTTTGAAATTTGTGTGTTGTAGTAGACCTTGCATTGTGGCATAATTTATAGCTTGCCGGCACAAAGTTCTTTCGAGAAAATCATCTGGCATACCCATCGTATTGTGTCTGTCGTTGTGATTGAAGACAGTATTGAAGTTCATCTGCACCTCAGGACATCTCTGTAGCCTCTAAAAACATCCTGAATGTTCTGTGAAACAACATTGACACTAAAATTTGTTAATTTTTATAAAACATCTCAAAATTTTTGAAAAATTAAAAATTATAGTAATAGTGTAAAGTGAAATCTGGTGCAGGCACCAAAACATAACATAGCAACACCGATGAGGCTCACATATCCAACTTGTGGTATATATATATATATATATATATATATATATATATATATATATATATATATATATATATATATATATATATATATATATATATATATATATATATATATATATATATAGTGTATATATACACACCAAAAACTTATAATATGCATGTCTTGTACTGTACTGTACTGTACTGTATACACTACTGATGTTGATGAAATATTTTTATTCACAGCATCACCATCTACAACCTGCAGATCTTAATCACATTTGACTGGGATACTTTTAGTTTGCTTTCTTACTTATTTAGTTGTGCTGCAGACAACTCCACCAACATTGACCTTGCTATTCGTCGTATGGAGGTAAGATACACAAACTCAACTTGCATTGATGTCCTTTTTCATTTATGAACTCATCAGAACATTCTATTGACTTCCAATCCATTTGCTTTTCACTGGCCTTTATTAAAACAACCAGCCCTTTCTGCCCAATGCTTGTATATTTGCCAGCCATCATCCCTATTACAAGTCTGTTTTAATTTCCTCAATATTAGTTAAACTTCATCAGTCATCATTACATATTCATCTGAATGATGTGAATTATGATATATCACTTCATCACTCTTATTATTGATGACGTAACTATCACAGGTCCACTTTGAGAACTTGAACGAGGGCACTGACCAAGGACAGCTGGTTAATATAGTGTTATCGTCCTTTGGCCCCGATATCATGGACTACCTGGATATGTTAATGGACACCTCTCTCTATGACCCCTTGGACAATGCCCTCATTGGCCTCATTAACTCCAAGTTGGTGTGCCCAAAGAATGAAGAGATCATACCACTGGAGACTGTTGTCTCTAATGTTGCTGAAGATGTAAGAGAACTTTTCAGTGTGTTCCTTAAGCCTAAAGTGAATGAGGTATAAATGGGTGGATAAAGCGGGCAGTAGTGAAATAAAAAAGAATTAAAGAAGTTTACCGAGTACAGTATTAAAAATAAGTTACAGGTTTTTGTTTTTACTTTGTCTACAAACATTCAAAAATTGCAATGTTTTCAACAGCATTTTTCTTGAGAAACATGACATTTGGAACACATGATACAGTATATGAATATAACAAAAGAAAAATAAGGTACCCAGCCTCAGATTTTTTAATATTACCTATCCTGATCAGTGCAAATGCAAATTTACTGATGAAAAATATTCACCAGCGTATGGAAGTAAGAAAACGTTATCCAAAATGATGAGGCATACTGGTAGATATACAGTACCGTACTGTACATCTTACCTTTATGTAGAGAGGTATTGTCCTTCTATTATCAGGTTTATTACTATGATTGTACTAGAGTTACTTGAAAATACAGTTGCTCTTAATTTGAATTATAATAAAATCTTGAATGAATTTGGGGATTTAGACATACCATTTCCTAGAATTTGATCTTTTATTCCAAAGATATCTAATGTGTTATTTATATACTGTACAGTATACTCATCCAGTGCTCAGCTTGGATTTTAAAAACCTATAAATCCAGAAGTCCCTAAGTCATCGTACGGGTTGTCCTGCACAGATCTATTGTGGTTATTTTGTTGAATTCACATATTATATCAGGTGACTCAACAATTCTTCTTATATGGCCACTCTATTTATAACAGTCAACTTTAGTTATACTTTGTCAAGTAGATATTCTTAAAATTGGTCATACAAGTACTAACGTTTCACACAGATAAATCTTTGTTTCAGTATTACAAAACCTTTCTTGGTAGCACTGCTTTCTTGATAGTTATAAACATATAGTGTATCGTTATGTTTTGTTTTTTTACGGGGGATTAGCTCACCCAGGCACAGATCACCAACCCAAATCGGAGCCTGGGAACAAAAATTTAACTAAAAATAAATACAGAAATGGAAAAAAAAATAAACAAATCAAGAGTGAAAAACGATATACAGTACATGTTGTGTTGTCAAAGAAAGAGAAACAATTAAGACCTAGCAATTGTGTGTAAATGAAGCAGAAAGTAAGATCAGCTACCTGGGATTTGGTCCCAGTTTTTGTATAATGTGACAGAACTTAAAAACAAAATATTAAGTACCTACTTCATGATAAACCTGCAAGAGCTCCCCTACCACAAATGATATACCTTAATGATAAACACATGTGCTTCTCACCACTATGATTATTGATCAAAAGCCCCACTAAGGTCAGATGTGAGAAATATGTTGTCCAAGTGTCCCTCTGAAGAGCCCAGTAATAACTGTTGGACGTATCCAGAGTGAATATAGATGTAATTTGTTCTTAACACCCCCTTCCTTGATGAGTCGGAAAAAAAAAAAAAAAAAAAAAAAAAAAAAGAAGAAATTACTGTATACTAACTTTTATACACAGTGATAAGGCCCCAGGACTTCAAAAGACACTTTTAATTAATTTTTTTAATAGAAAAATTCTCCGAGTCCATTGAATTTGAACTTACACAAAATTATTAATCTCTCTAAATTACAGTCTAACAATCTAATGAGGTGTATGCCATATTTTAATACAAAACAATTAAAACTTCTTCATACCACTTTAACAATAACAAGATATGCTAAATAAAACAAAATGTAGTTCCTTATCAACTACTGTACCATATATATATATATATATATATATATATATATATATATATATATATATATATATATATATATATATATATATATATATATATATATATATATATATATGTGTATATATATATATATATATATATGTGTATATATATATATATATGTGTATATATATATTTGTTTTTTTTTGTTATTTTTTTTTTTTTTTTTTATATATATATATATATATATATATATATATATATATATATATATATATATATATATATATATATATATATATATATATATATATATATATATAATGTTGCCAAGCTTCGGTAATTCACATCTTCAGGGTAGTACAGACTGTACTCACCTTAAGATCACGGCACCTACAGTGATTTACTTGCATATATATATATATATATATATATATATATATATATATATATATATATATATATATATATATATATATATATATATATATATATATATATATATATATATATATATATATATATATATATATATATATATATATATATATATATATATATATATATATATATATATAGGTATATATATATATATATATATATATATATATATATATACAGTGACCCCTCGTTTAACGAACACCTCGGTTAATGTAATTTCGATTAACGAACTGCCTTCCATAAGGATCTTCAATTCGGTTAACGAAAAAAAATTCGGTTAACGAAGTTCTTACGAACCGACCTCAACATGTTTTCGCTTGCACTGACCGGGCAACCAGCTTTAGTATCAGTCCGCCAATACATTAATCGGTTCTAGGGCTTAAATTCCTTACTATTTTAGTAAATATCAAGAAGTTTATACTATTAAATAATTTTAAAAGTTTAATATTCAATTTTTTAGTCATTTTAACAATTATTGAACATAATTGAAGGTAAAGTGACTAGTTTAATGCGCGGCATCCAGCCTCTTAACACAGTAAACAGAAGTTAGTCTCTCTCTGTTTTCACTGGAGGTAACATCTTGCTTGAGACTCTCTTCAACTAAATGCTTTTTTTCTGTGTTTCCAAGCAAATTATTGGTCATTTTGAAATATATTTTACATGTTGACAATATATAATGCAGTGCAGTGTTGATTTAAAGAAAATAATCTTGAATTACACCAAAGAGAGCTAAAATTTTATGGGTGAAATGGTGCTATGGGGTGACTTCTCTTCCACCCCAATGCCTTCTCTTCTTCCTTCTCCTCCACCCCCATTCTAAATCCCATCATCATCATCATCATCATCATCCAGGAGCCTTCTACATACACACCTCAAAGTAAGTGAACTTTTCTACCATTTTTGTTGAATTTAGGAAATTTTCGGTGAGCTGGAACCATGCAAAACCCATTGAAACAATGGTTTAGGTTGCAAACGACCTTCTGGAGCAGGTTGAGTTAGTTAGCGGAGAGAATCACTATTGTGTGTATATATATATATATATATATATATATATATATATATATATATATATATATATATACACAACATTAATAGGAAGAGACGAGTGGAAAAAATAGAGTACAGTATAATTATGACCAAAAAGGTTTAAGAATTTTTATATGTATTGAGTAATAAAAATACATACAAAATTAATCAATAGTCAAATTCATCTTTGTTACAGTATTTTCAGTTGAAATGACAAGGCTTAAAACACTGAGTCCATATATTTCTAGTTGACATTTGTTCCTTCTTGGATTCCAGATAAATTATTTAGCTCAAGGTAGACAGAATGAAAAATCCTCAATTTCCTTGGTTCACTGTTGTAGTTACTGGTATGGAACGTTACTAAAGAAATAAGAGATGCTCTCCCCAATTGTGTGTTCTTCTAATAGCTTCTGCAATCTTCATGGAGAATATCTATACACTGCAAAGAATAAATCAACATCATTAAAACTTCAATCATTTTTTATTGTTTCTTAAAAAATAAAAATCGTCATTCAAATGAAGTTTACCAACACACTCCTCATACCTACCCTAACACCATGAGTACGGTAACATTCACTCCTTTACAAGTAACATTTGTATGTAGTAAAATGACAAAAATAAATATGATGTGCAGAGTCAGCAAGAAAAGTTCTCGGATGCTCCAAGTGTCATACAATATGACAAAGCAAACGAGAAATCTGAACATTGCTTTCTGAGGAAGTTTTATTTCAATTTAAATTACTTCTTTTCACCTGTAAATACTATAAAGATAGGCAACATATATTATTACTTAATATTGAGTCACTTTGCAGTCAGACATACCAATCATTCTGAGATGACAAGAGCCATAGTGCTCATTCTGAAATCTGTATTGCTCAGTTGTTTGAGTTTTTTTTTTTTTTGCCGACTGTACAAAAGTAATGTTTAATATCCTTTGAACTATTTGACCCCAATATGATAGTTCCATATGCCTGTTAACACTCAAAACAGCTAAACATGCTTTGAGGTATATTGCTATATTACGGCTACACAATATAACCATGATTATATTTCTGTAAAACAATGCTTCATATAAGTGATTTATAACAACATTCTATATAGCATTGTTGTACACTCAAAAACCTATGCACTGTAACCTACATTATTTTTTAGAACAATTTCACTGTAGGTTAGTCATGGTTACCTAATGGCAGCAGCTCTCCTTGCTGCATGGTCTCTATCAATTCTTACATCCTCTCCCCCATCTCATTCTTGACCTAGCCCTGGCTCTTTTCCCCTCTACTTTTAGGCTCATGCACCTCTTGACTCATTTGGACTCGTCATGCCCAAACCATCCTAGTCTGCCTCTACGCAGAACTTTACCAATACAGTAAACCCTTGCCATTCACGATTTCAATGATTCACGATTTCAATGATTCACGGTAAGCAGATGGTGGCTATGGTGGCTAGCTTGCAAGCCTTTTCTCGCAGCACATCAAGTCACCCCACGCAGCATCTAATGCTGTAATCTCAAAACTTTAGTGTTTCTGTGTGAAATGGCCCCTAAAAGACTGCCTAGTGTCAGTGCTACTGATGCTAGTGGAGTGAAATGTAAAAGGCAGAATTTAGTGATGACTGACGAAGAAAGTTTTATTATTAGAGAAGTTAAAATGGGACGAGTGCAGCCGCGGCTGGTCAGTTGTTTGGTATAGGTATACAGAAGTGCACTATGGCAGTATAGGTTGCTATTCGCGGTTTTGCCAATTCGCACCATTTCTTGGAACCTATCCCTCACGAATGGCAAGGGTTTACTGTACTCTCAATACCCAGCCACCCTCTTAGCTCTGAACAGGGCTTCCTGTCTTTCAGTGTCACATTACACATCCACCTCACCATTCTCACTTCAGCTCAGTCAAGTCTACTTATGTCTTCCTCTTTAACTGCACGTTTCACTGCCATACATCACACTTCTCACACCACATACATACATTCATTCTCCCATTCACTAGCAGCAGCTCCCTAAACTTCCTCCACCCACTTCTTACTCTTGCAAATGCGCAGGCTTCACCACCCCCACCAGCACTGATCATGTCACCCAGGTAACAGAATTCATCGACACAGTCCAGGGACATAACCCCAATGTTGGGTTTATCCAGCCTTGCTGTGGGCACATGGTTACCTGCACAAACAGAATACTGAAAGTCAAGACTGTCCTGCAGTCTGCCATCAACTCCACTGGACCTCTTGTGCATTAAGTTGTCACCAACACCTTTCTTGCAGACAGCACATGGCCATTTTCTACTTTCCATCACAGGTCCCTCAACCACACCATCTCATCAATTCCATATTTTATGGCATATAAGATGCACTTTTTTGTCTGAAAAATAGCTGAAAAAATCAGCCTGCATCCTATATGTGACGTTGCGGTCTCCCGCAAGATAATAAATCTCCCCATTGCTGTCTCCAGTAGGCTAAATTCTACCAAACCCAACTCGAGAATTAAAAATTTTATCACTTACTTAAACACATTATTATTATTTTTAATTAATTAAAAAATAATTATTGTAAATATCAAAGGTTGATCTATAACTACTCTGTACTGTACTGTACTGATGACCCGAGACGATTAACATTCGTATGGCACACACCCAACTTTTCAAAGGTAGCTAAGCAGTAACCATTTCTGAACTCTTACAAGCATTAGAATCTATTAATGCTACACCTGCAACATTTATTTTTTTAATCTACAAATACCTGACACAAATGAAGATTTACAGATAGTTTTCTTTTCACATTTACATTTGTTAACATCGCTGGTGGCATTGTAGCCAGGTTAGAATGGTCTCTGTAACCAGGCTACTGGGCCAAACTGTTGTTTTTCAACTTGCATTTTTGGCAAGATATACATAACTATCTTCATTTATTTTTACTGATATACATGCACAAACCATCCTACAAACATATTGTGAAAAAGGCAAAAGAAATAATTATCCTAAAAGCAAACACATAAAAGGTATATACATTTCTTTACACACGAGTTAGTAGGGGAGCAGGAGGACAGCTGGGCAGTTGGTGGTGGTGGGGGGAGCATTGCTAGGGAATCGGCAGAGGTGGCGTCACCGTTGCTATGGTAAACAGGCAGTAAAGATGTACAGTACTTTATATGCAAATAGCAACTGTGTTAAAATTTCATTTGGATTTTATTTGCTGGTTTGGCAATAGAATATTTTTTGTTGTAACATACAGTACGCCTGGATAATTTGCGGATTTTTATTTCGCGGTTCTCTATTATTCGTGGATGACACCCTGGATATACCCAAGAATGTCTAAGGGTAGTTTTTAAGTTCCTGGCATTTTTGTGGCCAGGACAGGGAGCCATTCGTTCCAGAGAGAGTAATTTCCTTTACCTGTATTGCATATAACGGGGTGTGTGTGTGTGTGTGTGTGTGTGTGTGTGTAGACACACAAAACACATACAAATAAATACTAATGGGAAAATCCTCTCAGAAATAATCAGAAAAACATTTATTAAAAATGTTGAGTCTACCCTCAAGTGCTCTCCATGCTTTATTAATAACAGCACAGAGTGGACTTGAGGGTAGACTCTATATTTTTAATATATTTCTTTCTGATTGTATATACACACACACATACAAATAAATAATAATAGGAAAATCCTCTCACAAATAATCAGAAAAAAATATATTAAAAATGTTGAGTCTATCCTTAAGTCTACTCCGTGCTCTATTAATAACAAAGGACAGAATGGACTTGAGGGTAGACTCAGAATTTTTATTACCACTTGCACAAGGTACTACCTGACTTCAAGATTTCTCATTACACACTTTACTACTTCATGTGGTACCTTGCTAAATGCCTTCTACAAATATGATGTACAATGTTCTCTTTTCCTAGATATTTCTCTTGTAGCTGCCTGTAGTCTTCAAAGCAAAACAAGATTCCCTGATTTTTCCAGGTTTTCCAGATGTGAATTTGAAAAATACCAGGTAGATTAATTCAGTATTTATTATGACAGAATCACAACATTAGAGGCTTTCAATACTATGTACTCGTATATACTATTGGGAAATTTAAAGATGATAATTGCCACTGGCTACTGAACTGACTATTTTATTTAACCAGCTATAATCAGGATGACTATAAGGCCTTGTGATTAACATCGACACAGACCTTGACCCCCCCCGCACCACCATATTTTTCTTATCGGATTTGCGCGATTCACGTGCATCAAACTGGGTGTTCCAAGAAAGCTGGAAATCCGACAAAAAAAAAAAAAAATCGCTCTTGATTCACCTTCATGACTCTTGATAAATGTTGAACAATCCAGTCACTTAATTAAAAGAACAATTCATCTCTTGATAATATTTATTGCAGAATTAGTAGGTATAACCTGTAATATTTTGTTATTTGATGCCAACATGAAATATGATAGGTACACAAACAATTTAGTTACTGGAGTGGACTGTTTACTGGAATTTGTCCCTAAAAGTTATATTATTTATCTAGTGCATAGTACATCATTAATTTACGGTAAGATTGCTGTCAAAATAGCAATACAGTATATTTTGAAGTTGAACTGAATTCACGTACAATTCCAGGTTTCAATGTAAAATTCCCTGGCTTTTCCATCCACAAATAAAATTCCCTGCCTTCCCAGATTTTCCAGACCAGTAGAAACCCTGTCATACCTAGCATAAACCCAAAACTGCATATATATCTACTCTTTCCCATATAAATTTCTCAATCACTCTTTCTACAACCTTTATAACCTTATCTAGCAGCTTCAGGCATAAAGCAGAGAAACTTCTCCAAACATGTTTCCAGAATCAAAAGTGAGGGATTAAATGATTCCTCTTAAAAGGCAACTAAATATTACATAAGAAAGGGAAAATTATCATCATATAAAAAACAAAATATTATTATAGCTACAGAATATATAATTTACCTGTATAGTTATATGTATTATAGGAACATGGTTTAAAATTAAAAAATCACATTCCACTTATATATTTTTTTTTGTCTTATAAAAATATTTACTTGTGATATCTTCTTGGTGAAAATATTAACATTAGTATAAACTAGTGACACTAGAATACAGTATATACGTTATAATCAAACAGGAAGGATATGCACGAATACAAAAATATTAGAACACAAGAGGATGGCATCAGTGCCATAGGCCATGCTACCTATTGCTCTGGGCATTCAAATGCTGCAGAGAACACTCATATCATAAGGCTAATTCAATAAAAATTTCACTTTCTCTTTGTTTTACATACGCAAGTGAAACTTGAAAACCCAATAAACCAGGTAACATATTTACCTACCGTGTCTGCCTCATTAAATCAACTGTGGTACCCGTCACACTCATGACCGTCTACAGAGGGACTGAGTTGAAGAGGAAGGAAACTGATTCGCCATTGTGGGTTCGACGAATTGCCTCGGCCAAAATGTTGGAGACATCAATCAACTGAAAAGCAATAGCAAGTCGGGTTGGAACATGAAAATAGACCCTGTGGTACAACACAAACTATAAGACTGAATATATTCCCTGTACAGCACTTACGAGGTCTGACAATTAAGTTCGCGAACTCGCCAAGTGGCTCAACAGGCGGCGGCACTGCAACGAGTGTGAGTAGCATGCATGTGACCTTGATTCCTCGTCTTACTACCCCAATTGTGTCATCGATCTCAAACGAGTCAGACATGTGCAGTGGCAGCTATTGTATAAAGTGTGTTTTCTGGTTTTGTCACAATAATGACAGACATTGTTTTAGAACAAAGAACAAAGTTTTTCGTGAAACGGGGGGAAATTGGGCCTGAAATTCGGGACATGTTCACCCAGGTTTATAGGGATAGTGCACAAAAGAAGACATCAGTTTACTATGGATTACGTGATTTTCTGAGGGAAGAGAAGACATGACAGATGATGACAGAAAAAGACGACCAACAGCGAGCAGGACCGAGGAAAACATTGAAAAAATTAAGAGTTGTGTTGGCCAACAGGCGATTGACAGTGAGAAGCATTGCAGATGAGGTGCAGATTGACAGGGAAACAGTTAGAAAGGTTTTGACTGAAGATGAGAAAAGTTTGTGTTAAAATGGTGCTGAAAAATCCCAGTGACAAAAACAAGAATTGAAATTTACTCAGATTTTTGGAAAGAGAAGAAGCTGGAGATGACCTGCTTCACCGAGTCATTACCGGTGACGAGTCATGGGTCTACTAATTCGACCCTGAAACTAAACGGCAGAACGCTGCGGAAAATTAAAAACTCGCCGCGCCCCAAAAAACGTCTCATGTCAAAATCGAAAGAGGAGACAATGCTCATCACTTTTTTCGATTCTAAGGGTGTAGTTCACAAAGAATTTGTTCCCCCAGGGCAGGGTGTGAACCAGTTTTATTACCTCATGTGCTTAAAATACTGAAGAAAAGGTTTGACGAAAATGCCCAGAACTTTTTGTTGCCAACAAGTGGATCTTGCATCATGACAATGTGCAAGAGCACACGGCATCGATTGTGTGGTAGTTTTTAGCCGAGAAACAAATTACCTTACTGGAACTCCCTCCTTATTCACCTGACCTGGCCCTGTGTGACTTTTTTCTATTTCCTTCACTGGAGAAAACACATCAAGGGACGCATTTTCAAGATGTGGATGACATTCAAAGTAGCATGACGGCAGCTATAAAAGCTATTCCAGAAATGTTTCCAGGGGTGGAAGAAACACTGGCGTTCATGTATAGCATCGCAAGGGGAATACTCTGAGGGGGACCACAGTGCCGATCCTCAGTAAGGTACATATCTGCGCCTGTAGCATGAGTTCGCAAATTTAATTGTCAAACTATGTATATATATATTGTAAATCCCATTCAAAAGACTAACTTTACATAGGGCATGTAGAAGTATTTTTAGCTGGCTCATGCATAAAATATGTAATATAACAGTTCCATGGTATCTACTGAGTACAAAACCCTCAAAGTAGTAATAAAACATTAAATCATTTACTGATATTAACTTGACCATATTGCAATTACTTATTCTTTTTTTCATAAAATAAAAATATATGTAGGACATATGAAGAAATATTTGGCTAACTATCTTAGGGTTCAACATAAATTCTCATCCATTTATAAATACAATAATTAAATTCCATTAGCTAATTGTCTCTTCCCCATTTTTTTAATTCAATGATATACAACATGAAAGGCTGCTTCTAAATTCCATTTAACTCTTTATCACGATGATTACTACACTCCTTGAAACTTCAAAATACAGAGCAAAGATAGCTACTGAAATTTGGTTTTCCCTCATCCAAAATCTTCAGCTCCAATATTTAATATTTACTGACCCACCCAAGAATATAAATATCTATTTACCCATCATCTTTTATGCCTTACCTGAATTTTAGTAGAATCCTTCATATGTTGTTCTTGTGGTATAGTATTGGTAACAACAACAGCTTCAAAGCATGCATTGTTGATACGAGACACTGCTGGTCCAGAGAAGATACCATGGGTCAAGATGGCATAGGTTTTTGTGGCACCAGCTTCCATAAGTCTAAAGGTTTGAGAAAATGTTGTATAGCTGTGTAAAATAAGAGTTTTTGTTTCATACTTTTTCTGAACATCATATCATATACATTGGAAGGTAATTACAGTACAAAGATAAACAAAAAGGGATAAAACTTTGGATTTTGGTCAAGGATGAGCCTGGCTAATAAAAGCTAGGGTGACCCAGAACTGTCTAATTGCTGAGTTTAGGACAGAATTGGTGTTCACTTGTCAATGCCATGTAAGTGGACAAGTTAGGCAGGAGAAAAATTCTCTCTGGGCCAGGCTGTCAATAATCAAAAGCTTTCACAAGTACTAAATGAAGGTAAAAGCATGGAGTAGGGTGATTCTAGGAACCATGGATAGGGTAGGTGGTGAGGTCCATTTTAATAGGGAAATGAAGGACACCCAGATTGCTTTTTTTATAGGCAGAAGGTTATACAGTACTCATGCTAATAAAAGCTGGTATTTAGGATGTACCACTTCATCAATGGTACTGTAACTAAGTAGCATTCCTAAGTTACAGCAAACATATAATAGTGACAGTTAAATGTTATTGTACAAAAAGGTGTGGTATTACAATTATGTCCAGTACTTAGGAAAAATATGAAGTTGTTTGCAATCATATTTCCCACCTCTGCTGACAGTCGTGTAATATTTCAATGTGATTCTGATCTTTTAAAATGTTATTTTTGCATAATGTAGTATTACCGATACGTAATTTGTCTTTGTATGCCTTATTGTGGGTAAAAATACATATATAATAAATGCATCCTCAGAAAGCGTAAATTTGCTACCAGAATTTAACAGTTAATTCATGTACGGTATAATACTTCTGATAAACTTCCTACGTGCTCCTGTTTGAAATAATGAATGTATTTATCTTCATATAATTTAGCTAAATATCTTTCTCGTCAGAAACAATCATCCCAACGATTATGAATAAACTTGTTTAGAAATATATCATTACTTCAGGACAAAATCGGACAGGTTTGCAACAGCCAATCAGCTGTAACTTTTAAGGAGGGGGCGGGGCATCTTTTCTCAGCTGGGAAAATACTCACTACAGGGTATAACAATATAATTCCTCACATAATTCCAATTGCCCACAAATACACCAACAAACCATACATACTTCTCTGCAGCATGACAGATGGTCCCACAGGTGTCAGCCATATCATCCACTAGAATGGCAATGCGGTCCTTCACATCTCCTACTAAAACCATTGAAGCTACTTCATTGGCTTTCTTCCGTTCTTTATGGATCAAAGCAAATTCTATATTGAGACGATCAGCTATAGAAGTCACTCTGGAAAATAAAAAATACCATTAAGTAATATCCAATATACCTCTTGATATAATCAAGTTGGTATAACCCATACAATGTCTTAAAAACCTTGCATGTTAACAGTCACCCCAGACCACATCACTGATTTAATTAGTCCAGTACCCAGGGTTTTCACTGTATATACAGTACAATTAACAGTTCCTTCTAACTTTAAATTTCAGTATCCATTGTGTAGCAGGATTGAATGGGGAACCCCTACATAGTGGCAAGCCTTGGCCTCTTGTATACCATTTATATAGCAGATTTCTTTTAGCAGGAAAAATTTATTAATTTCATACAGAAAATTTCACAATTACTCCCACTAAATCATAACTTAGTCAAATCTATATTACACCAGACACTGACCTTTTTGCTCCTCCAGCATCAGGTGACACAATGATTGCATTTCTCCATTCTGGAATATTTTCACGAATCCACTTGAGGACTGCAGGCTCAGCATAGAGGTTGTCAACAGGAATGTCAAAGAATCCTTGAATTTGGGAAGCATGTAGGTCCATTGTGATGATGTGGTCTGCCCCTGCCACAGACAGCATGTTTGCAACCAACTTAGCAGAAATGGGGGCACGGGACTGTTAAGAAAGAAGGAGAATTACTAATGCTTTAAGTTTCATACTTTATCAGGAAAAAATATATATATATAATTTTTTTTTTAATAAATAAATCCACCTTTCACCTATAAATTACATCCAATCTGCAGAGAAAAACCTTGTGGTACATGCAAAAACCATTAAATTTCCAGAAAATTAAGCTTTCATTAAACTAAGGCAAAAAGATATGCAGAAGGCACAGGTAATGAAAACTTATTTTACAGCTACACAAGTTAGTGTATTGGTTAGTAAAGGAAAGTGACTACAATCATAGCCTACATACAAAAATTCTAAACATAAAAGACAGAACTCTGTACTATATATGGCAGTTTATGTGATGAAAATGCATCCCTAGAGGAATGTGTTGCACAATAAAGGAATATCTCTATCAATTTAATTTAAGGGTACTGTAGTATGTTTTCATATAAAAGCATTGAACTCTCGTATTAAAAATAAAGGGTATGAATGCAATATTGCAGCAATTTAATTAAACAGAAAATGAAGCGGATTTATAAACATGCATCAAAATACCATATTCCATGCTTTCAGCATTCATTATACTGTATCATAAACATCACCAGTACCATGTAACAAAAATACTGGTAAATGATATGAAAAATATTAATGGCTCGGGATATAAAAAAAAGGATGGACTTAAAAATAAACTGAGGAAAATCATCTAGATATAAGCTTGGCAATAAACATAACTTAGAAAGACTAGACAAAATCAGCAGTAAGTGCAAGTACTGTAAAAATAAATGCTTTCCTGTTCTTAGCACTTGATAGAAGTACATGTACCCCAGTGAATATGAATAAAGTACTTCATAAGGTTAACATTCATTCACATAAGTGAACAATTAGGTTGTTCTTAATGTTTATTAAAATCAGACATGGACATTCAAGATATACACAAGCAATATAAACTAGGTTTTTTTTAAACTAAAAACACACACACAAAATTAACATTTAACGGACTTGAAAAACTTAAATTGCTGAAATTAGACTACTGTACTCTGTTTACAGACCAAGTTTTAGCAACCATAGTACTGTACAAAAAATTATATGTATGTACAGTATATTAAATCACGGTTGTACACACTTCTCAAAAAAAATTTAAGTCTAGTCAAATTAAATGAAAGCCATTGCAAATAGTACAACCAATGACCAAAATTGAATTAAAAAAAAAAATTGCTTGGTTTAGCAGTACAGGTATGTCTAACATTCCCAGGCATCATCACACATTCATACTAAAGTAGAAATTGATCCATTCCATCTATGAAAAATTGTACACTGGAAACCATACAAATCACATGTGAAGGGACTGATTGACAGCTTCATGTCTGTCTACTCCTAAATGTTTGGTCATGGGAATAAAAAATTAATACTATAAATTACACAATGTCCCATTATACAGTACAGAGGCAATGTCATAAGAATTAAGACTATGCCCAGTAAAACAACCCAAGCTTTCAATGATATTATACTATGTGTTAGGCTGCATCTTCTAAGAAATCCCAAAATATAATCCATTACTGTATATAAATGATAGTTTACCTTTCTCCTTCACATCATCCACAAAATACTTTGCAACATGAAACTAATGAAAACTCCTCATGATGCTACTTAAATCTACAGATATAACCAAGATGTGTTTAATTACATATTTGGATATATAAATAAACAAACATAGAATGGAAAATCAATACTGTATAGTGTAGTATCTACATTGCCTCACTCTTCGAGGGGACTCTTGCTGTGAGGGGATGGCCATGACATAAGTGCTTCAATGCTATCTTATCACTACATATCTATGCCCTCTCTATTACCCTTCTCCACCTTTACCTCCCACAACTTAGGCAGTCTCCCAAACTTAATACAGTTACATTGTCCGTGTGCACCTTCTATACTACGTACTGCACTCTACTTGTATCCTTTTCACATGTCCATGCCACCCCAGTAAATCTCTCCACCCATGCCACAATATTTATACTCACTGGTCTCTGCCATTCCATACACCTAAAACACTTCACTATTTCTTGCCCATTCTCTTCTGATAACCAAAGGTGTGTCCCTCAGGTGACTTACTCCTGCAATACAATACAAACTGTGTCCCTTCTTTACCCACATTCCTTCCCTTAATATTTCTCGGTTCTCAGTACCAATACCAAATACCTGTACTGTATTTGCAACATTTAAGCTCTTTCAAAATTTCACTCTTCATACTATGTTCCAATTTGCTAGAGTTTTCTTTACAGTATGGTTTATCAAAATCCCAAAAGTAAAATTCCTTACTCTTAAAAACAAGCTTTACTCTTCCTAACAATTAATTTAAAATTTCCTTCAATTATATGCCTTGTCAAAAGTTATTTACCATATTTTAAAGTTCCTGTTTACCTTCCATCCAAATTGCTGCATCATATAAATTAAGACCTTCCAGCTCCACTCCTTCCAAAACTACCAAAGCCTCACTGACCATACCATTCACATTATACTGTACACTGAACAACCTCCCTCCGACTTTCCTCTCAAAGCTCGCACTTACCATAGTAATTTACTAAATTTCAAATATGCCTTACTATGTCATAGAATGGCGTAGATCCTCAGCAACTCCCACCGAGCCATCTAATCTATCTTATACGCATTCTCCTTATGTGTAATTGATGCATTTAGTTTCGTTTCCCAACATACTTTTTGGGGCAATTTTACAACAACAAAATTACATAAATAAAATAGTGTCCAAAAATCCTACCTCTCTAAATTCTCCATTCTTCATCTATCTTGTGCTTCGTTCCCACACCCTATCAAGTTACAATCCTACTGTAAAGTTTCCCAAATTTCACAATCTTCCTTACCTTTCCCTTACATGAGTCATATTTTAGCCTTCAACAATTCATCTGGTACAGTACTATCTACAGTACACTCTTAATACTATAATATGCCATGTCTCAACATCAGTGCTCACATACCATGCACTCCTGGAGTTTTCCCTATTTCAATTTATCACATTTCCTACTAATTAGATGCTTCCTTAATTTAGCAGGGAATGTGCAAGAATAAATATCGAGTTTCTCGAGCATGGGTAGGTTTCATTCCAAAAATGTTCGCATAAACTGAACAACTACTATCTAAATATAAATTCAGCAATGCATTCCACAACCTACAGTATACTACTCCCCTGCCCCAGACCTATTTCTACAGGGGTATTAATATCATTCAATGATCATCAAGTAAACGAAAAGAACATTGCAAATAAAGCCTCAAATACTCACCCACATAGAGAGGCATGCTCTCACTGTTATCATCATATATTTTTGTATTAAAAATATATATACTGTACAGTACTGTGTATTGTATAAATTATTATTTTTATTCAAACAAACCCACCATATACTGATAACCAGAGTGTTTTGTTGGTCTTCAGCAATACCAGACTTATGTAAGGTACACACATTACTATTCTCTCTAGCATATTTCATCGAAAAAAATTTAAATTTATAATTCATTACTTTATTTCCAATACAAACCCACCAGATTTCAAGGTACTAAAACATAAATACAGCATATGGAATATTTAGCATGGTACTTGCTATTTGGATGGGAATTGGACTCTTTGGGTTAATGACCTTGCGAGGCTTCATGCACACCAAATTTATAATACATGTATTGGTCATGTAGCAATTTGTGCCTCCTCATGTGTAGGCGAGTTTGTCTTCATGGTAGTGCAGATTACTGTCACAAATAATTTCACACTTAAAAGTAAACTCATGCTGCACAGGTAGTGGTAATGATGTTCAGTGATGGTTTTATTATATTTTATACTTGCATTTACCATATATTATTTCTTTTCATTATTCAATAATCTATCCACATATGTATTTCATTCTGGGATTGTCTTGGAACCAATGTGTCAAGTGTGATAGCCCGAGTTTTATTCTAGTACTGGCGACTACATCCCCCTAAAGTTAACCATCAACACATAAGACACAAGGCGACCTTTGGAGACATCTTGGTAGGAAAAGAGTTCATCTTATATAATGGGAAATTAAGGTACAGTACTTGGTGTTGTTTATAATATTATGTCCTCCCTTACATTTTCTTTTGTACCTCTAGTTGCCCTCCTTTCTCCATCCCCCAATATGAAATCTTGCCTCTTTCCATCATTATGTACAGTATTCCTTCCACCTGTCTTCACATCTCACCCATTTCCATTCATACTCTTACCGTTTATTTTCTATCCTAACACACTCATTTCCCCTCCTGTTATTTCTTTTAGAGTTTTCCATTTTTAAATTAATCACTGTTGAACCATCTTCCCAATTCTCACCCATTCCTTCACTAGAATCATACACCTTTTATTCACCCTTTTACTCTCCTCTCTATATTCCCATTTCCTGCTATCCTTAATATCTACCAATACTGGACATTCTTCTGCAATGTTCTTCATATGCTCCTCTCTACCTTGCCACTACCTCTTTATTTCTTTTGTCCACCATGCACCTGCAGCCCTTTTAATTCTGACTCATTTTTTCTCATATACCTGTACAGTACTGATTTTATCATCTCATTTACACCCTTTTGCTATCCTTTTACACATTTTTAAAATACTGTACATTACTTCACTTTACTTTATTTATCCTCTTCACCACTGGTCAGCATTTCCTTAATGGAGTTTATTTCAAAGGATTTGTACAGTATTTTCATACTGTACAGTACTTCATTCCACACAAATTTCTTCAAAAAATTTAGTATCTATTTAACATCAATGACAAGTTGTGCATATAGCTGAATGTCAGTCGTGCATAAGTTGAGTTTATCATCAAGTTAGATTGTAAATGATTGTACCTGTACTAACAAATTATAATTTTGCTTCTTACATTCTAATTCCAGGTTCTACAGACCTTTGTTGCTGCTGCAATGTTCTTATTTTGCTTATGCCCTCATTATTTAGCAAAAAATATTTAATTATGATATAGCCTCAACATTAAGGTTTCAGGTTTACCGTAATCGTAAAAGAGACAATTTTCCTACGACCATAACGAATGATTTTATCATTCAAGAGAAAAATTTTCCCTTATGGCAACCACCTCAGAGAGCATGTGTGACATCACAGAAACTGTCACACAAAGCAAGAGGATACCCACTTTAGCACCAGAAGTAGCTCCTATTACTTCAGCTGGACGTCGCATCCAATCCTGTCCAACCTTTTCTGGTATTTCAGGACGCTAGGTGATGAATATTCAGATATCTTATTTTAAATCTGATGAAATAAAACTGCAACAAAATACTGAGCTATTCTTGATTATTGGTACTAAGAAAAACAATAAGAAAAATTATGACCTATTAATCAAATTCTGAAGTAGAGTACAAAATCTTGAAATCCACAAACTCACAAAAAAGAAAAACCAATTCATGAAAAATCAATAAATAAACTTCCTATACTGAAAAGATATATAGTGGAGGAAGTTGGTATATTTGGATTTTTTTTTATAAAACATAGGATAACAGTGACAGCAGTAAGTTCAAATGAAGATCAAATGAACATTAGAATTTATAAAGATCATTCTGAGAAACCATAATCACTTGAAAACTTTGCTGAAATCAAATTAGGTGGCAATATGGGCCACATGAAAAGAATAATTCACAGGAAAATTATATATAATAAATAGTTCTATCTATTTTTTTTCTAACCTAACAAAGCGGTGAAATATTTAATTAATTTCACCAAGATATCACACCGAGTGAAACTTTATTTACTATTTTCCAACATATTACTTTTATGATTTCACCAAAAAATTAACTAATAATACTGTACAGTACAGGCAGTCCTCGCTATACAAAAGGGATGCATTCTGCAAAATTTGTGCGTAAAGCTAAAATTTGAATAGTGAAAGCAATTATTCCAGCCATAAGGTTATAAATTGGGGATGTAATCTTTGGGGCTGACTTTCAGACAGCTTACTACACCAAACTATACAGTATACAAAAAGTATAATAAATCAATACAAACTATCTCTAATTGTATAATCAAATGAGTGCAAGAAGTCTTTCGGTTATGAATGGATTGCATTGCATGTTTTTGTACGTAAGTTGTTCATTTGGAACTCAGAACTGAAATTCTCAAGAGATATAATGGTAGAAATGGTGGTTAGGTTCCCAAGCCAGCCCACAAAAGCCTACTAAATTCAAAAATATGTTGCAATACTGTGCATTTACAATGAATAATACATTCCATGTGTAAAATCCAATTGTGGGGAAAACAAAAATATGAGAAAACCATAGACTTTCAAAGCTATATTATGTTGTACAACAGGCCAAACCATACCTGCAAGAACTCGGCCTGGTCAGACCCCATGATCAACACCCAAACTTTGGTGCTTACCGAGAGTTAGATTATAAATTTGTTGTTTACCACCACAACAATGTCAAAAAGGTCAAAGGTACCCCAATGGGGAAATTTAAAAGATTAAATCAGAATTCATTCTATTATAATGGGACTGGAATTGGTGTTCACTAGTTTCCATAGCAATCAACATTACACATGCCTGAAAATTGATTATCTTATGATAGTTTTGAGCTCTTTTTATTCTAATTACAATTTTCAATCCTTATTTAAATCTTACTCCTTTGAAAAACTATAAACTATACTGTATATTCTCTTATAATTCCTTAATAAATAATCACGCACGCACACAAACAGAGAGCTTGGAGGAGGCAAGGGGGATAAAGGCTCTTGAAATTGGCACAACAGGAAAAACGCATCAACAAAAATAAGTTGTACATTGTAAAAAAATTTCATTCATTCATGAACTTCACATACGCAAAATACTGTATCTATTGTTATCCCTTGTTTAACGGTGAGGTTGCAATCCAAAAAACCCTAGTATTAAGCGAAATTATCACTAAACGAGGGATAACATGGAGTGCAACCAACAGGTTCAAAAGGTAGCCCGGCAGTAAACACTGAGTATAGGTGTCTCCCAATTTACAATATTCCGCTTTAACAATGATGATTTATTAAGAACGCCCCCTATTTACGATGTAAACATTCCGCTTGAACAATGGTCATCATCCAGCCAATGCAGATGCATCTCTCAGTTCACTTGTTAGCTGCAGTCTACCCAAACACCGCCACCTGGTGCACCAGAGTACCAAGCTTTGTTCCATGGTGACCGCACATGGCTGTGATTGTGTAACTCAACACTATCGGTCAGTATCGGTGTTGTTACTTATCATTGGTATTTTTTTTTATAGTGAAAGGGCTTCACTAACATTCACAATGTACAGGACTTGTACTCTGTTTTTCTGACTGTGAAGTGATTTTTGCTATGTTATTTTGTGACTACAAAGTGATTTGCTTCTATTGTTGTGAACACAATATGAGCAGTGTTAGCCGCAATAATGTTATCATTCGCTGTTTTTCTAACATGTGTTTTTGCTCTGTTTTTGTGACTGTGAAGCGAGCAGTGTAACTTTTAAAATATTTGGGAAGGCCAAGGCACCCTGGACATTGTGAAGCAGCTTGAAACTCCCCAGTGGCTGTCGGAATCAGAGTGACGTCTCCATTCCACCTTCAAGAGTCCCCTTAGCCATGAAGGGGACATGTAATGATGACAAGGTTTGTTCTTAATGATGTGGCGAGTGTTGAGTTGTTTTGTAGGTGTTATAATGCCACTTTATGACATTTTGACCTGCGATGGGCAATTCAGAAACCTGAACCCACATAAATAGCAGGATACCTGTACAGTGCTGTACTCCCTAATAATAATACTAAATGAGTTTGTTATAAATGGGTTTGAAGTTAAACAAATTATTTATTAACAAGCTTCTATATAAATTATGTGGTTCAGAGTTAAATGATTTAGTGAGCAATAGTTAGCCTAATTAGAAAAAATTCAAATTGCATACATCAAAAATGAAAAAAAAATCCTAAGATAAACAATAAAATTAACACTGTACATAGCATACCATAAAATACAGTAACATATATTTTATGTAAAAAAAAAAATATTAAAAAAAAATAAATAAATAAATCTTCCATATTCAAACCATCCTCTGGGCAATGTGACACAGTTCAGCTGGGCAGTCAACCAGCTGACTTAGAGATGTGTAGCTGCTGCTGCGCAAATGTGTATGCCATGACGCCATATTGGGGGAGGGAGTCGGGGACCATGGCTGGGCTCACGACGCTGTTACAGCCCACTCATGGTCTCCACAAAAACGTTCACTTCACACACATACACACCCATGCTCTTCATTTTTCTTACTTTACAGTTTTACATTATATTTTCTTCCTAAGCCACATTAGAGAATTGTAATGATTTTTCCACAACTTTTATAGTTTTATTATATGTATCAATGGTAACATGCCATCTCACAGGCTACCTCATCCCTAGTTTTTCCCCTTCCCAGTGAGTCACACTATCACCGAACCAAATTGTCTTTTTTTTTTACACTAAACCAAATTAACGTTAAGTGAATTAGCACTAAACGGGGAATACCTGTATAGCAAGAGTGTGTATAGCGAGGACTTCCTATACATGCACTAGATCTAGGAGTTAAAATATATGCACTTATTTACTCACAAAATAATTTATTCCTAATTAGACTAATCCTCAAGAACATTGCAGCTATTAAATTCTCAAACATTGCAGCTATGCAACTGCCTTAATATTCTGACAAACTAAGACAATGAATTTCATCATGAGGTTTGTTAAGTTTTGCAAAACATTACTAAAAAAAGGGGGATTAAAAAAGCAAGAGTGCTTTCTATTGAAAGCATATGCTACACAACCAAGGCGAGAAGTGAAACAAAATATGCTGTACAGGGTATATACAGTGAGTTCTGCTATAACGCGTGTTTTGATAACGCGAATTTGCTCTAACGCGATTTATGAATTAGGAACCATATTTGTATAACGCGAACGCTTGTTTGCTATAACGCGATTTTTGCTTACAAGAAGCGTTCTGGTGATAGAATTCCCGGTTATGATTGTAAAAGAAAGGATATAACACTTGAAGAGAAGCTCGATTTTATCAACCTCAAAATCACCCTTCTCCCCCATCAAGTAAAGTGTTACATTTACTGTATGATTTCATTATTAGATATGAATGTAACATTTATTTAGACTGTGCTATCCTTTGTGTTAGGCTAACAACTAAATTTTTTCGATTTCGAGTAATCTGCACCTAACCCTATTTTCTCCATAAGCCCTGTTATTTCTATTACGCGATTTTCTATAACACGATATTTTACAAGAACACAATTATCGCGTTATAGCAGAACTACCTGTACAAAAATCAAGAAAATTATACTAAAGAAGCACTACCATCTAGTCTAAAAGGTTAATAATATACAATTCTACGAGGGAACTAGCCACAAGAAAATCAAGGCCAACTACAACAAACTACAAACATGAATAAATACAGTACTGTATACAGTTATAGCAGCCTCAAGCCCAGTTAATATGAATTACTGTACATGTATGCTACACATATGGTACATTGATAAGTTCATTTCGATGAAGGACACAAAGTAAACACTATTATACAAGCAGATGATTAAAGAAATTATCCTCTTTTTACCCTTGAGGGGCAAAAGAGTTGAGAATGGAAAAATCTGCAGTGGTTATAATATGAATTGTCAACACTGCTATTTAATTTTGCATTTGCTCTGCACAACCAATTTTGTAATAAAACAAAGCAACATAGTGCATGATTTGTCCCCGAGCCAATCAGGTCTGCATCTTGGAAGAATCTTTCAATCATCCTTGGTCCAATCCCAACTTAATGGGATAGCTCAGATGCATCAAAACATAAAGAAAATAAATCTAACCTAAACAGGATTTGTACAATTTATATAAAATAAAAATATAATCGTTATCATATAAAAAGGCTACACTTAAAATAAATTATAGTATGTTATCAATTTATTACTTTTATTTATTCTATTTTCTATAAAGCAGCTTGTGGCTCAAAATTTACTTTTGTATTTTAAGGAAATTATCCATGCTAATAAGTGCTGTAATAAGATTCAAGTTTACTGCAATCTCTTCATTTCCAGTAATACATGGTGAAAATATGGCTGCTATTCATATTTAATTTTCTATTTTGTAGCTCATATATTCCTCTCATGTATCAAAGTTTTTTATCATTGAGATATTCAAATAAAATTATATCAAAATTTTTTGGTGCTGCTACTCAAGTGTTGAATTCTTATGCCGTAAGACTGATCAGTTAAAAAAAGATAACTTGCATTCAGAAAAAAAAAAACAGTACCTGTTTCAGCCAGTTATTTTGTCAGTAAAATCTGATTTTTTTTTAACAAGAACCTGTCAATTACCCACCTTTCCCTAATAGTCCCAGAGGCCTGATGGTCTAACAGGGGCAGTCTAGATACAGTACACAGAATACTAAGTCATCGGTGCACAAGAAAGCAATGTGGCTAGCACTGCAATCATCTGTCTCCCTAACAATGAAGCTAGGTACAAATTCACAGTTTGGTAGGCTGGGGATGCCCCAGGTGCAAACCAAAAACCCTTAACACAGTTAGTGAGAACTGCATCCACTCAGCTGCTACATCCCTCAAAATTCCAGGGATGTTTAATGGTATCAGTGTAATTTCACTTTGATGAAGAGATGAAGGTTGAAAAGAAATTCAAGTACTGTACAAGTGTATTTGGAAGCAAAGTTAACATGGAGGAAAGTAGAAAACCCAAAGTAAACAAAACAGCAAATCAAGGAAAAAACAATTGGCACCTGTAGAACACTAATAACTGTACTGCTTATCGAATAATTGTGAATCATGAGCTTTGAAGTCGTGTTGACCATGATCCTAGTAACATAAACGACTCTGACGATTCATCTTAAGTGCTAGAAAACTGTTATGGAATGTAAATCAATGTGGATGACATGTACCCAATTTATATGATGTAGTGGGTGAGCAAGAATGGGTGAATATTTATTTGTTGTATACTTGTATGTACTTCTTTGTTGCTACCTACTGTACATGTGGAACTCTCCCAATTATTTTTCCCCTTCTTTGAGGTTTCTTACCCTTTGATCCACCCTAAATAAAAGAGAAGTAAAACTGATGGTTTAGACACACAAAACAGAAAAATGATTATCAGATAAAAGCCTAAACTTAAGTATGTGGCAGAATTAATAATAGGAAAATGACTCGGGTATAAAGAAATTTTAAATATTTGTTTGTCATATACAGGGTATATGTAAAGCATAATTCCTTTGCATAAACATCCATAAAAAAGATAATAAAATTTCTATTTAAAATCTAACTGAAAAAATTTCATGCAAAACTATAGAAACAGAATGTGTATACAACAGTGCTCCTATTCTCCTGTAATTCAAAATATGGGTGACCTAGTTCAATATTATTAGTATTTCCCAGATTTGAGGCAAGGTAACCTTACATGTACAAAATTTTCCAAATATTAAATCAATACTGTACATCTCCATTTAATCTGATGTCCAAAACACATAGCTAAGCACAATGAGCATTACTAAAAGCTGCTTAGTATGTTGATTTAGCAATAAAAAATGTGGGCAGTCCGAGTGAAAACTGACATTTTCTAAATCTCCCGGTTAAGAAGATAAAATTGGCCTCGGAAAATTTGGACTATTTTTAAGATTAATTTCTGTAATTAAATCAAGTCACACGAGTGATGGATTCTGGGAACCTTGGTATCAAACTATTAAACCTGTTCACTGCACATGAGTTGCCTAATATACACCGAGTAAGTTTATGAAATTCCATTTGTATCATGGCATCCTTTCACTAGTAATATATAATAAAATGGTAAAAATTTCCACTCTTCAAATAAAACTTTAACTCATACTTAGCTAAACTAACCTTGTCCTTCTTGTCCTGTCTAGCATATGGAAAGCATGGAATGACAGCAGTAACACGAGCAGCAGAGGCAATTTTGCATGCATTTATCATAATCAGCATTTCCATTAAATTATCGTTGATCTCGCCACAACCACTCTGAACAATGTAGACATCTTCACCTCGCACACTCTCCCCAATCTCCACACTGAAAGACAAATTTCCATAAAAAACAGTAGTGAGGGTACTGTACATATATTCTTAAATATAAATAACAAATGTAATCATGTAAAGTTCAAATTCCATTAGAAAATCATACACTATTACCGGTATCATTATAATTCATCTTTTACATTTTTTCATCAATCATTTCACGCACTTATCAGTTTACTAATTCTTCAAGCAGTCAGTATTTTTTATTTCTTGTCATGACCTTCATTGCCTAGAGTTAGTGCATGAAAAAGCCAGAGTACAGTAAGTACTCCCATAACGGCTCATTTCACTGTGTGATTTGGTTATAGTTATAACACGATAAATTTATTAGGGAACACCTTTTCCAGTGTGATTGCAATTTGACAAAAAATGCAATCTGAGAAAACATGTTACTGACCAAACCGGATACACGGTCAAACAAGGCGTAGCACTACACAAGTGGATGCGGTGTACCTATGCACTCACCCACGCAGTTGTTTAAATTTCTTCAAAATCGGATGTGCAATCGTAGACATTACTTCTGCTTACTAACTTTTCTGCTTTGTGACCGCGTGGTAAAGGTGTGAAGCATTATGGTAGTGGTGTTCAGCAAGTGAAATGAAGAAAAACCATAGCACTTGAGCAGAAATTAGATATGATAAAGAGGTATGAGCGAAGTGAAAAAACACACAACACTATCAAAGCCACCAGTTACCGAATCCATGCTTTGCAGAGAGTGATGACTTTAAGTAACAAATTTGAGTTACTTAATTACCTTGCTGGAGGTGATAGTGCAGCCATTATGGTGTTAATGTGTCAACTGTGAACTTAATCTGGAAAAATGGGGCAAATATTCATGCAAGTGAACAAACTGGGTAGACGACAAAATGTGTTGACTTGGCAGATTTTTTGGAAGAGTATTTATGGTAAATAATTAATTTCTTCACGTACAAAGCACATACACATCATTTTAGTGTCGTGATCAGCTTTCACCGCATTTTACCCCCCAATTTCTTGCATCCTTCATGCCCTTCCCACTACAGGTGATTTATGATCGTAGATAGAGAAAACTAAAAAAAAATACTCATAATTAAAATAAAAAGTTGTCACCTGTTTTAAAATACTTACAATAATGATAAGAACATCTGTGAACAAAATTAACAAGTTTTGCTTTGTTGGGTTAGGTTAGGCCCTAGGAACCAAAAATCCTTTATATGACATTGGTCATAACTCAAAAATTTTACGTGCAAGATATAGGTACAGCAACTGTTAGCAAAACACTGATGTCTTTGGTATGGCAGCCTTCCTCCTGACTAACCTAAGCAGAAGGAAGCACTGCATAGCTACTGCATTTTCCGCATGAGCGAATCTTTGCCGTACCATTAACCACACAGTCCATCAATATGGTAGCCGTATCTGCATCCGGTGTGATAATTATATATGCATTTCCCCAAGCTTTCATTACTACTGCATTCAGCATGAAAAACTGTATTAAATAATGTTTTTTTTTCATACCTAAATCGTTTGATGGTGTTTGCAAAAAAACTATCAAATATATAATACAGTAGTACAGTGACACTAACAGTGAAAAAGGTGTTGCAGTGGGTCTACTGTATATACTTCTCGCCCACCCTTTACATATTACTGCTGTAGTGGCCACTGTTTGTTGATGTACAATGTTTAAATGATGAACAAAATGTGAACTTTTATTACATGTCTATTTAAGAATAAATATCTGTATATCCATCTGACTTAGTTCTTGTCAGCAACACGCCAGAGAGATAAAGTGGCTATTCAATGCTAATTAAACTTGAGTCGCCCCTGATGATGCCACTACTTTGATACTTTTATTATTTTGTTCCACTTTTCTACTAAAGTTAATGTATATTTTCACTTAGCTAAATTTCATTGACTGACGCTAGACAGTAACTAACAACACAAAAAAGCCATCTTTCTCTTAAATAAATAAATAAATAACCAAGCGACAGGTAGTTGGTGTGGCAGCCACTGCTCAGCTGACCACAGCACCACGCATCACACTAACCCTACATCCTGCAAAGTTGCTAACCCTATTTTTGCATTATCATTAGGAATATCAAAAAAATTTATATTACAAATTAAAATTATGGAGTGCAGGACGTAAATATTAGACATATACTGAAATGACACTCATTGATTAGCCCGAAATATCGAGGAATAATGCTGCAACGCAAATCTATTCAAAGTTACGAAATTACGCATTACTGTTGAACATAAATACTTTTGAAAAAATCATCGAATTTGAAACATATTCTAAGCATACTGGGGCTATAAGAACCTTACCAGGTCTCCAAATTTGAAAACTTCTTGGTAACCACCTTCCCTAGATCAATGCCAAGACGGTCCACAACCCGCTGGGCAAGGTCCGGATGAGAGGAACCCGAGAATATCTTGATATTAGGCATCCTTAAGGGTGGGTATTCTAACCAGGGAGGATCACTAGGGAGGAGGGCGAGACAATTAATGTCCAGCGTTGTTATGTCTGACTTCTCCTTTGCCACTGATCCTAGCATTCCAACAACGCACAGGGGTCGCTTACAATTTACAAAGGTATGTCTCAAGTCTACGAAAAAGCTACAAAAATATCATGCGGATATATATATATATATATAAAAATATATATACTTGTATACTGTATACATACATATATTTCTATACAATAAATATATCAAAATATATAAATATGTGTAAATATTGCTAAATTGTTCTTATCTACGATGTCTTGGATTTACAGATATAAAACTTGCTTAGCCACAAACTGGTCATGGCGGATTTTTTTTTTGTACATGCCCGAATGTAAAATAATGACTAAAAAGTAAATACCTTGTAATTGTCTTAAACATCTTTAAATTGTTAAATATACTGAATGGTTTCCTTGCCAGTTTAATCAATTTAACCATTCTTCGTAAATTTCGTGTAATTTCTAAAGGGGCTCCAGGCAATTTAACAATCATTACCTTGAACGAGGATTCAAATCAATGGTACTATTATATTTGTGGAAAGGTTTTTCATTTTCATTTTAGCATTAAGTGAAATTGACCTCCATATTGTTAACTTTGTTTATTTATCTATCCAAGTCTTACATCGGGACAGACATGGAAAGAGTATGATCTAGATTCTAGTGCAGTGGTTCATATTAACTATTTTGAGTCACTACCCCATTTTTTCCCAAAGCTAACATCATATCGACCCCCACCACGCCTAAATGACGTCTGACGTTGTACACTCTTCCATAGAAATGTTTGCCGACGACGCCAAGTTATTTCGGGAAATCAAGTACCATGCGGACTGTGAAGAGCTGCAGAAGGATCTCTGTGAGCTTCAAGAATAGTCGAAGAAATGGCTGTTGAGATTCAATGTCACGAAGTGTAAGAGGGTGCACCTGGGGCGTACCAACGGGATGAAGAAACTGCACTATTTGAGACTGAATGCGAGAAGAACCTAGGTGTGTATATTGACAATGAGTTGAAGTTGTAGGGCCATTGAGAGGAGAGGGTAAATCAGGCAAATACATTATTGGGTCTTGTAAGAAGGTCGTTCAGATATCTACAGGGTTCGTCCCTCGTAACGATCTTCAAGAGTGAAGTGCTTCCCCATCTGGAGTACTGTACTGTCACCCCGTCTGGTCCCCGAGATGCCAGGGACTGTCAGTTAGTTGAAACTATTCAAGGGAGATCCACTTAGACCGGTCCGACTAATTACCCAAATGTACCCAAATGTAGCCGCAATGAAGTCAAATGATGGTCCTACATGAATAAATCGGACTGCCAATCACTTCTCGACTAGTATTTGGTGTCACAAAGTAAAAAAAAAATTGGAAAACTTACTTTAATCTGAGTTAATAGATCGCGTGCATGTACCGAGGGAGCGAGTAATTACCCAAATGTAGTCGCAATGAAGTCAAATGATGGTCCTACAAGCGTAAATCGGGCTGTGAATCACTTCTCGATTATTATTTGGTGTCATAAAGTCACAAAAAATTGGTAAACTTAATTTAATCTGAGTTGTGTTAGGTTAGGTTAGGTTAGGTACATGCACTCGATCTATTAACTCAGATTAGATTAAGTTTACCAATTTTTTGTGACTTCGTGACACCAAATACCAGTCGAGAAGTGATTGGCAGTCCTATTTATTCTTGTAGGACCATCATTTGACTTCATTGCGGCTACATTTGGGTAATTAGTCGGACCCCCACTAGACTGGTGCCTGCACTTCGGCTCCTCAACTACCCTGAGAGATTGGAGCGCCTGAACTTGCCTAGCTTATATTACAGTCGGGCAAGGGGCGACCTAATTGAGGTGTATAAGCATCTCAAGGGGCACTACCCAGTCGAGTATCCTTACTTGGAGCTGACGGACGCTCGCCCCACAAAGGGTCACAGCTCAAAATTGAAGAAGCAGCAGGTCCGGAAAACTGTGAGGGCAAACTTTTTCGGAGTGAGAGTTGTGAACTCTTGGAACAATCTACCAGAAAGTGTTGTGACGGCACTGAGTATGAGCTCTTTCAAGAGCAGACTTGACCAACACTGCAGCAGGTTCAGGTACATTCAGGAGCCGGTGCATGGCCAATACTTGCCAACAGTGCGTAAGACAGTGACCGATCGCCCAAGCGGCTAACGAGCCGATCAGTGGTGAAGAGGATACAAGTAAAGTAAAGTATTAGTAGTACAGTGGTAACGCGGTTTCTTCTTGTACTAATACCAGATAGGTCAACCGTCCATACGGCTAGTAAGCCGAAAAGTGGTAAACATAATAAAAATATACCTAATCAAATACCGTCAGCCATCAACTGCGCTAATACTTTTACAGATTTTCCTGGATTTGTGATTCGACTACCTGGACTTATTATAAGACCAGGCGAACTAAAGAGTCCAGGAAAGTCACAAGAAAAAACAAGTTACAGAAAAAAAGGCACGTAAAAAAAGTAACCTAACTGAACCTAACCTACGTGCAATGCCATCATATACAGTACTGTATATTGTGTTGTCAATGTGTACAAGTCATGTGACTTTTTTACCTGTGACTTTAATTCTGTTCACCGAACCAAACATACTGCAAGTGTTATAAAATCAATAATATATCACTCTTGTAGTGTGTTTGGCTATTCTATTTACAAAGACACTTCGGGTTAGTACTAGGAAATGGGAAGAAGAAAATATCGTACAAAATAAAGTATATTCTTAATCTGGGTGAGAGATGTTGTTCGTAAGTAAGATGGCGATCTGATTGTTCTAGAATCTAGATCTAGGATGATCAGCAGTAACTCCATCCCGCCCAGCAGCGGCAGCAGAGAGGGGGGGGGGGGCTTAGATTGGTTGGTTTCCTCGACACCTCCATGAAAGCAATCTGCCACACTATCACAATCAAAATATGAAGAACGAAAGGTAGGATAGTGGTAGAGTTGCTTGGAAAAAGGTGAAGATAAATTCGTTGAGCTTTTATATCAAAGATGGACGGAGCGAGTTGGAGAGGAAGAATTTTGAGTTTTTCATCCTGAAAATATTGAAGTATTCGTAGAATTTTTTTAGTAAAAGCGGGAGACAGATCTTAGAGCTTTTATGTCTAATTTATGAGTAGATGGTGAAGGAGGAAGACTTTTGAATCCTCGGTTTTAAATTTCAAGGTATTCGTAGAGTGGAAAGTCCTTTTCACATATGATCTCCGTTAATTTTGTTTCTTCGTATCATTGGAACATGTGTCATGTGACACGTCTCCTTACTATTGATACGACCTATAGGCGCATCTCGCTTTCTTGACACTGAAACTTAACTGCCATTCCTTTAACCCCTCTTGAAGCTGACAGAGATCTTTCTGTAGCTCTTCACAGTCCGTTTGGCTGTTAATTTCCCTGATTAAGTTGGCATAGTCCGCGAACATTTGTATGGAGGATTGTATACTTTTATGTTTACCTTTATCCTCTTCGCTACTGTTTGTTTTAAACAAACAAACAAGATTTAGTGCTTATTGAATTTATAATTTTTCTTCACTTACTCCTGTCTATATAATATTACTGATTAGAAACTAAGCCAAAGCAAAGAATCTTCTTAAAAATAAGCGTCTGACAGCGTTTTCGGCAATCCTTGGTAAAAAATATGTCTGAATGATTACCATTGTTGTATACCTGCACTAACTGGGCACAGGAAACTGTATACTGCCACGGCTTACGTACAGCCAATCCAAAAAGTATTGAGACTCCCAGGTGCCCGGGTGAAGACCAACCCAACCCAGCGTAATTATAAAACTTGTTTTTTTATTATTATTTGTTGAGCACTGGTTTCCCTTCAAAATGCATAAATCTTTCGCCTTTTCAATTATAAAACTCTGGCGCTGACCTAACCAAACCGATACCTGAACGGGACTGAGGTTATCGCTCTTCCTCAAAAAAATAAAATAAATAAATAAAACCAATGTGATGTTTTGAGACCTTACTCTTAGATATCTAAATTTGAACGTCAATAACCTACAAAGTACATATAGATGAAGGTAAGGCGTAATTAATTAGGGGGCATGATTGTATTTATAGTCAGCGTCGCGAGGAACAAAAATTGAATATTATTACATTACCATGGAGAGTGATATGACTACGGAAGATTTCCTTTGTTTTTGCCAGCAGGGTTTAATACTTAAAGTAATATTGTATGTATGTATGTATGTAAACAGTTGTGGAATACATTACAAAAACGCAAACAGTGACTCAAGCCTCCAATACGGATTCAAATAAGAAACTTGTTAGACATGTCATTGGTGGAAGTGAGGATTATGGTGATTGGTGGCTCGGATCTCTGCCTTATGTCACTACAGTATATAAATTGTGTGGTGAAACAATAAATATAGTAACAGAAAATATCAAATGATGTACTTGTAGAAATGAGCAAGATTACAGATGAATCACCATCTGAAATGAATGATTTTAAGTGTCAGGTGAGTAGCATTGTCCCTAGATTTAATTATAGCACTACAGTGGTGAAAGATGTGTGTAAATATTTGTTTTGGAATAGATAATTTTATTGAGAACCAAGACTAAATACTTTATTAACTGTGAACTGTGTTAAGAGAGGGGTTACCAGCAGGGGTGTCAAACTCATGGCCCGAGGGGCGAGGGCCAAATGTGGCCCTTGGGATGATCAGGTGTGGCCCGCTCGGTGATGGTAAAATTTATCATCCCGTGGAATTATGATAGAAATAGATATGATCATGTTTATTTTGTCAAATGAATTTTACGAACTTAAGATCAGACAAACCCAAATGAGGTGTTCCTGGTAAGCTAGGTAAGGCAATGTGTGAAGCTGTAAACTTCAATCCTGCAAATATGTGATATAGCACTTGTGTTGGCCCTGAAGAGGGTAACTAAAATACGAATTGGCCCTCGAAAGGTTTTGAGTTTGACACCACTCGACTGTACAATTATTTGGAAGGTAAAAGGTCGTTTTAATTCCACTGTCTTATTTCTTTATTTTTTGCCTTGCTTTTTTAATTGCAATGGAAACAAGAAGGTTAATATTCGTTTTTGGTATTTTTTACTAGTAGATAACCAATGAACCTCTCGGTTTGGTTAGGTTACATTACGTTGTTAGGTTAGGTTAGATTAGATTCTGGTCAATTTATAGTTGTGCACCGTTCATTCTTTGGGTATTAGAAATATGTTTTGCCTATGGCTTTTGATGAGTTTTGAACGAATTTGACATTCATTTCCATTGGAAATCACTCGTTTTTTTAGATACTCCCCACCCCCAACAATCTTAAGGGAAGATGTTGGGTTGTGAGAGCTTTTGGGTGGGGAGAACAAGGCCAAAATCCCGTCAAAGTCATCAAAAGCGGAAAAACATATTTCTTATACCGAAAGAAATATAACCTAACTTTATCTATCCCTTTTTCTGTGTAAAAAAAACCCATAGAAAATCACCCCAAAACAACCTAACATAAGCTAACCAAATCATACCCCCTCATCTTACTTTAATCTGAAGAAGAATCAGGTTCATCTGGGTCGTCAATGTTTAAATCGATGATTTGAAGTGGTGCTCGTGGGAGTCGATCACTTTAAGGAGGGTACAGGCGGGCTGATGACACCACCAAATGTGATGAGCTTTACAATAAGTTTACTGATTTTTACAGATCGGGCAACTCACGTTGTTCGATAATAAACTGTGCTTACTAAAAAAATGCAATGGCCTCAGTATTTTTCTGGTAGAACTCAGCAATAGTTGTAAAATAATCACATTGACAATGTCCACACAGCTCTTCCACCTGTTCAGCTATATCTGGTACTGAAATTAAAAATTTCTCTCCCGACGCACCCACGCATTGCTCATTGGCTAAGAGAAAGAGCTCTTACCCAATAATAAGTTCCCCTCACCATGTGCTCCCCAATAATATCGTTACCCTCACCCTCTACTTCCACTAGCCAATAAGAACTCCCACACCACCCCTGCACATGCGTTGTAGATGAAGAAGTGAACACACGGGAGCAGGAACTGAGGAGGGAAAGAGCTTCTCCACCTGACTTAAACAAGTCGGGTGACATACAAAAGATAATAATATTGGAAAATAACATCTCGGTTATCCTTAATTCCCAACGAAAATATCATAGAAGAAAAATTACTTAGAATTGTTAAAACATTTGGAAAAACATTTTTCTAATACATGTACCGAGAGATAAAACGGTGCACTAATATAAAAAGACCTAGATTTGTTAGGTTAGGTTAGGATAGTTTTGGTGCTTTTTGGTTGTTGAGCAGTGTGTCTCACATTATGGCATACTTATACAGGTATACAGTATACTGACAGTAAAACTCAATCCTTCTCCATTTTTTAGGGTATACTGTACTTCATACTTAATGGATATGCTTTGGGATCCAAGTGTGGAGGTTAAGGATAATTTTTTTTTTTAATTTTCTTAATTTTTCGATCCAAATTACAAGTTGTGGGCTGGGGCCTGTAGTTATGACCTGAAGACTTTCTGACTACAGAATTGTATACCCATACTGCATTGCTCAGTCCTGACTTGATTATTAAATGAGATTTCAGGATCAATCCTCCATTCTTACAAATTAATATTCTAGTGAAGAAATAAGTCATGTTAATAGTATAGTAATTGTCTGTGTTTTTATATTGTTTTTATCATTTTCTTTTCCAGCTAAGTGGACTCTTGGCTACACTGCAGAAACTCCCCTGTGGAGAACAGCAAGCAGCCTTAGATCTCTTACAGTTGACACTTAATCATCAGCTTCATGACAAACAACACTCCAAAAACAGAGAAACCTTATCAGTCTCAGAGGAACCCATTGTTCAAGAAAAAAATATTCCCTCTTCACACCAAGAAGTAAGAAATGTTGATGAAATACATTGTAATTTAAAGCAGGATACTTTAAATGATGGACTATTGCAAGATTCTCAGCAGGAAGCACTTGATGATAAATCATTGCATGGATCAGAGCAACAGATATTATATCAAGAAACCGTATATGACACTCCTCAAAAACATCCACTTCAGGAAAAATTACCATTAGATATTCTCCATCATATATCAGATACAGAATCTGTAAAAAAGACTCGGAGAACAACAACAGAAGCACTCAGAGTTAATCTTCCATTACAGAAAGCATTAGATCCATGTAATGTTCATGAATCTCAGCAGCACACAAGAGACACAGGTACACTTGATGATTCTCAAGAACTTACAGTAGACCTGCAGACCAGTGAATATTCAGAAGAGACTACATTAGATCTGAAGGAAGCTCTCTTTTTACAGCAGAATATTAAAGATTTGAGAGCAACCCATAAATCACAACAGAATTCCTCTCTCCACAAAGTATTAACTGAATGTCAGCAGCACATTACAGAGGAAAAGACATTGTATGGAACAGAAAAGAATATAACCACTGTAAGCAAAACCAGTGACTGCCAGCAATACTGCACAGATCTTGGAGACTATGATAAGTCACCACAAGTATCTGTTTTAGACAGAATTCCTGAGTCTGAACAACAAACAGTGCCCTTTCTGTCTCATGATGACACACAAGAGCTAACCTTGGTTAATTCAGGTGACTTGGATGATACAGACAATGAAGTTTCACAATTGGGTACACCTCTTGGGCCTCACGATCAAAATGAAAAGTTAATTGTGATGCAAGAAACAATTGACTCAAAAGATTTTCAGGGGGATAGTATTTTGACAACTGATAAGTCTCATTTAAGAATCTTAAGTGGAAAGCACGAAAGGGGTGAAAATAAACTAGGCCCTAATAATAAAAGTGCTTCTTTTGATGAAACGAGCTCCAGTTCTTTTAATGTACCTAATTTTAGTCATGTACATACTAGAGACAATTTGTACCCAGAAGAAAATGCTTATATATTGCCCTGTTTGGAAAGAGGAAACTATGACAAAATTTATTTTAAAGAAAATGTTTCCATAAGGACTAATCAAGACGACTTTGAAAAATGTCTTGGTACACAATATTCAAATGATCAGTTTCATGAGTACAACAAGAAAAGCAAAGGCCCATTAAGTGATCCAAACCTTGATAAAAATCCTGTTGATCTAAGTAATGCCTCCAGTGTTTACAGTTCAAAAAAGACTAGGAACATTGAGAACTTAGATGAGTCTCATATGAGCTCTGTTTACTCACTTGAAGCGAAAAATGGCAAATGTGTTTTAAATGAGGCAAGTGATATGAGTGAAAGTACTTCCAATAAAAAAGAAAATTCAGAATACCGAAGTGTTTGTAAGCGAAAATATTCTACGAGAAACCCCGGTGACAATCACAGACAAAAAAAGGTGAAGAAAAATAAGAGTGTTAATGTGACACTGGAGAGAAGCATTGATTCAGTGTTAGAAGGGAGCTGTGAACAAGTCATGGATATTGATGTGTCAGAAGATGAACTAGAGTCAGAAAAGACAAACTGTGATAAGTATGATCTTAGTACTCACAGTACTTTGAAAGAGAGTACAACACACATTGTTATTACAAATAACTGCCAGTTGGCACTTTCAACCCAAAATTATAGTAAAAACTTACCAAATAATGTAGATTCAACACACAGAAAAGATGGCGATGATTATGGTGATGCATGTGGGAATGAGGAAATTGCTTTATTTATAAATAGACAAAAAGGAGCATTGCTTGCAGAGACAGATCACAAGAAAAGGGATGGCGAAGTCTTACTATCTTCAAATTTAAGACCTGTATGTTGCAGAAGTTGTAAAAAAGAACTTCCTGATGTGTCACTTCTCTCTCTACACTTACGTCAATGTGAGGGACATCTTACATGCACATTCTGCCAGGAAAAATTTGTTCGCAAGGTAAAGTTGTCATTTAATTTTACTAAGACCTGTACTGTACTGAAATAGTTTTATTGAGGACAATCTTGTTGTGATACCACAGAAATTATTGTAATACTGTATCATTTTGTAAATTTTTACAAATGTTTTGTGATTTTTCATCATAAATAATAATGCTTAACAAAGTGAAGATTTTTCCAGAAAATCCGTCTGCTTATTTATGCATTTTCTACCACTAGATGGTACAGTATACCGTATTTATTGTACAGTGTATATAGCTGTGTTTAGTTTATTTCTACGGTGTAGAAGAAAAGCTCTTGTGTTGTGAATACTGGTATTTGTTTTTGCACCGAGTTCAAGTTTCAGTGAATACTGTACCAGTTTCTTAGACATTGTTTAATTTTCAGTCATGCACAGTAGATCCCATCCAGTCCATGGATATTCAATCCATGATTGAGTCTCTGGTCCATCGAATTGTATAAAATATGTGTAATTTGTGCCAACCTGCACTTTCTGCAGTTCTAGAGCCTAAAATACATTGGAAAATGCCCATGATGCTCTATAAAGTATAGTACAGTACTTATTGTAGTCCTAAGTATGTTATAGCCTATACACATCTCAAGTGACTCATTTACAGTCAACAGTTTAATTGGGTTGAAAAACCTAGAACATTGGACCTTAGGCATGTTGGACTGAGGCTGAATTAGAACAAGTCCAAAATAGGAAACTCAGTCATGCAATACAGTACAGGCAGACCCCAATTTACAAGGATTTGACATGAATATTTGCGGTTTACAAGTGAAAACTCTAAAGTAATGAAGAAAATCAGTTTTACTTTAGTACTGTATTAAAAATATGCTAAAATATTTTTAGCATGCTTACTTATTTCACTAACTTATTTCATTACTCTCTACATTAAGGCTACAAATAACATTACAGTGTCTCATTATTCTCCTACAACACCATATAAATTACTCCTCATTTACTTAATAATGAGTAGGCTCATCTCTCACACACACACACACACACACACACAGAGCCAGTTTTCTGATCATCCAATTTTTCTTCAATTTCTCTCATTTAATGTATCAAAGAAACGAATTTTTTTGTGTATTCTTAAATTTCATATGCTAATTATTTACAGTTGTGGATAAAATGCCCTGAACACTTGGCAGTACTGTACAGGTATTTGGCATCTACTTTGGGTCATATTTATGATTGGTCCCACTGGTTGTGGACCCAAGGGCAAACCTGATTTTCATCAAACTACTGACGTCACCGCGGCTGCTGGAGGATCGGCTTTTTTCACACTTCATTTTTCCAACATTTGTGGCCTGAGATCCAATATTTCTTCTGTGGAGCACCATCTATTAACCTCTTTCCCCATCCTCTTATTACTATCTGAACTCCAACTGATCAAAGCAGCTGCACCCAAATCTTTACAAGTCCCCAACTACAACCATTGTACCTATTTCTGTTCGAAAGGAGGTGTATGCGCCTACTGCAACACACAAACACCTATAGCTCGACTCATGGAACTTGAATCTTCTCTTTATGATGTCATCTGGCTCAAAATATCTCTACCAACTATGATTATTTTTCTTTGTTTTCTATACTGTTCTCCCAACTCTACCAACTATTTGGAACTCTTTGACTATCTCGCGTCTTATTTTTTCACCCCCTAGGCCTCGCTGTGGGTCGATGACCTGTGCCCGGGTGGGCTCTTCCCCGTAAAAAAAAAAATTAAGTAATAAAAATAATAATGCTGCTTATCATCATACTGTATATTATGTAGGAACCACAACACGGGAAAAAATAATACAGTACAGTTCAGTACTATACAGTACAGTACTGTACAAAACAAAATCTGAGAAAATATGTTAAAATTCCAATCTCTTCACTTAGTGATCCTCAAGGACTTACATGCCAGATACTACCAATTGTCCAGGGATGTTTGTCCACAACTGTACAATAAAGAGAGAGAAAGTGTGGGTGTGAAGAAATGTTTGGAGGTGTGGATATTGCTGGCAATGCACAAGGGAGGGTGAGTGGAGCATGAGCTGACTGAGAAGAGGTGCTGGCAGGTGGCTGGAGTACAAACATTTTGTGCCTCTGTGTGTGCTGATATTTTTTCTCCAATGGTTTTAACCCTTAAATAATGGGAGCTTTTTACATAGACTATTTGCTCTGACAAATCATCACAACTTCTGAACTCCAGTCTTCTGTACAGTACCAAGAACACCTTGTACACATGTTGGCGATGCACTCTTATTTTTCAAGGCAAGTTTATTGCATTTTAAACATTGCCTTTTAAATGTATGTCAACTTTCAAGTAAAGCTTGCATGCTGTGATTAGAATACACAGTTATTTGACTTTTTTATTTAAATGCATTTACAGTAAGGTTAATTTTCTTCAGAGTACAATAAGTATGTAGATGAACTTTAATTTCAATAGCAATGATTACTTTACAGCCAGTTTACAATTGCATTTATATATAATAGTTATTCCCTACATCTTCAAGGGATTACTATATAACCAGTAAAAAATATATATACAGTACAGTTAACCGTCATTAGCCCCCAATGGCCCTTAAATTTGTGCAATAAATGTCATGTGTGTTTTCTTTTACATTCCCTTTATACATATATACAGTAGTAGTATAGTTTATTAAAACATAATTAATTTTTTATAAAATATATTACTGTACAGTCGGGGTCAAAAGTTCGCTCCTACTCAAAATGAAGCAGTATCGACTCCAGACGAGTTACAAAAATTGGGGTAAGTCAGTTCGAAGACTCATTCCCATGCCTCGGTTCCACCACTGGGAGCGAAATTTTGTCCGTGACTGCACCTCATTTATCATTAAAATATATACAGGGGGTACTGTATTGTTTTTAATGGGGATACTGTATTGTACATCTTACAAAACTGTAAAATGAGCTTTTCTGGTGAGTCACAGATGTATACTATATTGTACAGTTTAAGAACAATTATGACTCAGATGAGCAGCAGAAGGTGTCCAGCTGTCTGTAGGACTTGTCCTACTATGGATATCTGCTGACTTAGTCAGATTTTAGTTCTCTGACTGAAAGTGATGATACAGTACAGTACTAGGGAGAGTAGTGTACAGTATATCACCTGTACTGGGCTGTATTAAGTTTTCTCTCCCTTAGTTAAATTGTATCACTGGTATTCTATGTGCAGAGTAATTATTATACTACAGTACTGTACTTATATACTGTAAATTTCAACCTTGTTTTATACTGTGCATATTCATAGCTATATGATTTAAAAAAATTGTAAAGAATGTTAATACTGTACAGTAATCTTATATACTCTTTGCATATTTAATGATTACTGTATATTTTATAATGATTTCTATTTAGGCATGTGCAATTAAATTGGTTTTGAGTCTCAACTGTGTACCAGTTTCTCTAAATATACAGAATTTATCTTACAATTTGGATAAATATACACTTGTAATAGAAATGGATGAAGTTAATTGGCTTACAGTTTTAACAAAACTAAATTTCTGTATTTTATGATAATGTCTCTCTAGTTAAGATTTCATGCATTATTCTTCAGGTAACTTTTTCAAGGCATATGGAGGGTCACAAGAGGAATGTATGCAGTAAATGTCCCCAGAGTTTTTGCAGCCACAAGAAGTTAAAGGCACATATGAAATCAGAGCACAATTATGATTTGGTTTCAAAGACATATCCGTGCCACAGGTGTAGCAGAAGCTTTCTTAAACGATCATCCTTGTACTATCATCTTAGGGTCCACGCAACTGAGAATGAGGTGAGCATTGCATTGAAAGTAATCATTTTACAGTTAACTTGATCAGATTTATGTTCCTGTTGCCTCTGGCAGGGTATAGTATGTTCATCCACTTTGTGTGAGTGTGTGCGTGCGTGCGTGCAAGAGAGAGAGAGAGAGAATTAGCCCAGCCATCATGTTATCATTCCCTCTACCTATCCTTTAAGATGCCATTTCATCTATCCTTCTGGTTATCCTGTGAATTTGATCAGTTAGTTAACCACAGTCATTTTTGTCAAGTTTCAACTCATTGATGATGAGTCTCAATGAACAAGTGCCTTTAACTTGTAAACATGTATCGTGAGTTCTGCAATTCAGTATTTCCGCCACTGTATTGGTTTTTATTACAAGTGCTCCTCTACTTAAGAACATTTGACTTACAAGCTTTCAGAGATACAAACATCATCATTGAGGGGGGTTACCTTCCAGAGCAGGAGTGGATGAGACTGGATTATTTTGAAGAAAATTCCATATAGAACATGCATTACCTCAGAGGAGAAGAGTGAGCCAGGTTTTAAGGGTGTATTGTAAGGTATAGGTGTACTAAACATCCATTACCTTTCGTTGTTTACAATATGTTTGGTATCTATAAGAGTGAAGTTGGACTTACAAACAATTGGAGCACCTGTATTTTTATAATTATTCTGTACAGGTAAGCCTTGCTATATGAATGTTCGAGATACGAGAATTTGCTCATACGAATTTCCTGAATTATCACCTCTTTTATGTGTTATGAAAGCTCCTGCAAATACAAATTTGGGTCCCGTCAAAAATTCAAATCGCGCCCCCATGAGTTCGCTGTGGTGGCCACACCCCCCTAGTGCACTGTCTACCAGGCTGAGGTAGGAGTTATGTTGTGGTTATTTTTCAATTCATAATTTTGTGTAGATAGACATAACTTTCTTCATATTTTTTTTGTTCCGTTATATACACACACAATCCTACATACAGATTGTACAAAAAGAAATGAAAAAAATAATTTTCATAAGGCCCAAAACATAAAAGGAATAAACATTTCTTCATGCAGCTGTGAGAGTTAGCAGGATGAACTTTGTGGAATTATGTTATGGTTATTTTTCAACTTGTAATTTTGGGTTGATAAACTTAACTGTCTTCACTTTTTTCTCAGTTACCTGCACACACAATCCTACATACATAGTGTGCAAAAAATGGTGACAAAATAATTATTATAAGGTAAAAAAAACATTATAGGAATAAACATTTCTTTATATGTGAGAGCGGGAGAGGAAATGTTGTTAAGGTGTCAGCAGAGGCAATGTGCCAAGCTGGGCTGGGTTGCTATGGCGAGGAGTGAGGGCAGGCACGTGTAACGCAACCGGCTGTGTTAAGCTTTAATTTAGCTTTTTCTTGATGGTTTTATTGTCATTGGGGAAGCGAAGCCTATTTTTCCCATATGTTCTTTTATTCGTTATATAAAAATTTACTTAACAAATAGTTCTTCAGGAACCTAACCCATTTGTATAGTGAGGGATACCTGTACTGTACTGTTTTTTGTTTTGTTTTTAGTAGATATGCTGCTCTTTCGTATTTGTATTGTATTTTATCTATATAACCATGGGTCTTCATATGAGCGAATAATCACTGTATATTTCCTACAGCACGTCTGTCAAAAGTGTGGTGAGTTCTGTAAGGGAAGTGAGAGTTACAAGTTACATATGGCTGAGCACCTCAAGGCAACCAACTTCCACTGTCACATTTGTTCAGCAAGTTTTAGACGCCGCCAGCAATATGATGATCATCTCAAGGTATGTGTATGATGTGTATTTCAGCTATAAACTGCACCATTGGACATGTGTCCCACAATCCAAGCAGGCTCTAAAACAACCCTCATACTGATTTGACCTTCACTTCTCCAGTTGTTCCTTAGCTTTTTAAGTGTCTTTAAATGACCCCTCTTGGTCTGGTGAGCTAGAGACAAACAGTTTATAACTTTTATAATAGTAAAGCCTGGAGGATGGGAATAACAAATGTCTGTTGGATGGGAAGGCTTGTGATATTGTTTACAGTCATGACTGTCAGCTGTAGTTTGCAAGAAAATTTGATGCAGTTATTATTTTTGAGAGTAGGTTAATTAATTTGTTTCAACATTATTAAAGAAAAGTTTATGTGTTATCTATTTCAGCTTTTATATAGCTGAATTTTAATATATTTTTATGTTTCTTTCATCAGCATCACAAGAAAAATAACTGTGAAATTTGTGGGCAGCCACATACTACAAAACGTGCCCTGGTACGCCATTGTCGAATAGAACACAAGTCGCTTCCTCAAAATATTACAGTTAACCGTGAATATAAATGTGAAAAGTGTGAGCGAGTCTTTAATAGACCTTCAATACTACGTCATCATCTGCAGTTACATGGAGGTAACCATTTATTCTTGTTTGTTTAGTTATATTCTTGTGTCTCATGTGACATATACTATACTGTACAGTGAACCCTCGCCAACCACGAGGGTTACATTCTACTGGTTAACCCTCTCATCTGCCATTCCATTGGCTGGTAATTCCCAATTAACAGTACAGTACATACTGCTCTAAAAAAAATAAATAAAAAAAAAATTTGCTGGTGATTCTCCAAATTCATGGCTGTTTAACCACTATGTAGATGTCCATTTGGCTCCATACCTTATTCTCTAAGTCGGATGCAGGTGTAAGTTTTTAAGTATTTCTCAACTTATGTTGGGAATGCAGTCTCCCCACTATGGCATCTATATTTATGGCAGAAATTTTAGGTTGTGGTATTTTATTTACCCTCAACATTATTTTTACCCAACCTCAGCGATTTTACAATTTTTATCGATTCTTGCAATGCTCTCCAGGTCTTAGCTAGTCTCTCATTGCCCCATCCCTTAGAGTGGCTGTTTCTCATTCAGTGTCAGGGCCGGAACTTCAGTTTTTGCTGGGTTCCGGCCCATGTGGGGGAAAGGCGGAATGAGCGTGCTGATGCTGTGACAAAACCAGTTACTTCTCATCCTGTGGCACATCATTCTCCTCTACCTGCCTATGATATGAAGCCAGTAATAAGAGCTGCCATCTGCTTGAGTTGGCAACGCAAGTGGGATGACGTCGGAGCAAACAAGCTACACTGTTCTTTGCTCTTGAATTGGCCTAGGCAGTTAGTAGTATTGGAAGTGACTGAGAGGTTATGTGGCAGAGAGATGATTAGACAGATTCTTACATTATGAGATAGTTTGAAGGAATATAATAGATCCTTAGGGGTCATTCTTTCTCCTTACATTAATGCAGCTTTCTCATACTGTACATGATAAATATATAAAGGTGATTCACATCCAAAAATAGTCTCATTGTAGCGATAACTTCACCCTTCTTCAAAAGCCAATAACTATATCCATTTTTTTTGTTTTATCATTGCAGGTGTGAAGCCTCTGGAATGCCGTTTGTGTAACAAACAGTTCAGCCATAAGCGGGGTCTCCGTAAACACATGAATAGCATTATACATGAGCACATGCTTCTCACAAATAATTTACAGAAAGACCATGCTTATGATGTGAAACAGAATTTTGCTTTTGTATGTGAATATTGTGGAATTAAGCTACCTTCAAGACACATGCTTTCCAAACATAGCCGTATGACACATAAAGTTGGTATTACTTGGAGTTGCCCTCATTGTGATTATAAGACAAAACGTAATCACACTTTAAAGAGACACATGGAACTCCATTTAGAGAGCCGGAATTTCATGTGTGAGATATGTGGAAATTCTTTTCAAGCCCTTGCTACCCTTAAGGATCATCATAACTTTGTCCACTCAGATGAACGGAATTACAAATGCTCTGAGTGTAACAAAAGTTTTAAGAATAAATCATCATTAGCGCGTCATTGTCGTACACATTCAGATGACAGGCCTTATCAGTGTCATTGTGGAACAAGTTATAAGCGACTTTCTCATTTAAAGCGACATATGTCTTCAGCTCACAATGAAATTTTGAAATCTAGAGCTGTAAAAAAATTCAAACAGTCTGAAGAAACAGAAACCAATACAGATAGATCATATGATGGGCAGGATCCAACACAGTCCACAGAAATTTCTGATGGTGAAGAATTTGAATTTGTATCAGTATCAAATTCATCATTATCCCCTGTAATTCAGACAGAGGCATCAGTTAAAAGTACTTCTGACATTCTTCTCCCAGCACAAGAAAGTATTATCTTAATGGGTGAAAGCTCCAATTCAGATCAGGGGCACCTCATAACAGTTGGAGATTCACAGATCATTCAACTTATACCGTCAACATTTCAGTTTCCACAGGAGAGCAGTTTTCAAGCAGTATCTCTAGTATCTACGAGTGAACTTCATACACTTCCTTTATCAACTACTGCTCCCTATGGCCAGGTGGCTCATAGTAACCAAGTAGTTGTGGAGCCATTTAGTCTTTCCCAAAATTCAGACACAATGGTCATGGTTCCTGCTTCACAAGAGGACCATGCTCATCTCGGAGACTCTGATGCAATTAGAACAACTTTCAGAACATTAGAGAATGAATCACTCTCTGAATCTAGCCACATTGGAAGAGAAAAGCGAGGAGTCAAGGAAGAAATGAGTTTGCACACACTTGAAAACCATACAGAACTGTCAGTTACTCCCAGTCTGGACACTTTTGATTACAATACTACTCCTACCTCCCAGACTCTTTTGCCCACACTACCTCCAGCACATTACATTACTCACACACACAACTCAAACACTCAAATAAGTCAGGAGTTACTTCAGCCAAATTTGATTTGTTCTGATTTTGTTCTTCCAGTTGATGAGGGTAGATAATAGTAATAGATGTTATTCATTATACTGTATACACTTTTTATAGTTGTGTATTGCCAACAAAGTCTACAGGTTGAAACCAAGTTAACTTTAATATTGGTGGGTGGAACTACAGTAATTTGTTATATCTTTTTGTCACACCCAATCAAGTATACTACCTAAAAAGAAATACAGAATGGCAGTTACCACTTAAAGTTTATGGCTAAGAATCTTTACCATCACATTAGCATAGCCCCCACTTAGCTTCAGTTATGGACTGTTATTCTGGGTCAGTCCTCAGTTTCAGCCACTTGTTCAGAATCAGTTGACACTTCCCTATTTGTCTTTAATTGATGCCGTTATGAAAATTCTTTTTAAAAATAAGTGGAAATAAGTGGTAACAATGGTGCAGGTACAAAGGCTAAAAAAAAATTTCATTACTTAAAGTCAGTGGTGTCAAACTCAAAACCTTTCGAGAGCCAATTCTTATTTTAGTTACCCTCTTCAGGGCCAACACAAGTGCTATATCACATTTTTGGGGGATTGAAGTTTATAGCTTCCTTCACACATTGCCTTGCCTGGCTTATGAGGAATACCTCAGTTGGGTTTGTCTGATCTTAAGTACATTTGTAAAATTCATTTTACTTAACAAGCATGATTAATACTAATAATAGGAAAGCAAAAGGTATAGACTGTATATGCATTATTTTGTGGCTACAATTTATTGTAGAATTCCATTTGTGTTTTGAAACTTAAGAGCTCAATCTTGTTATGACAGTTATGATATGTACATGCAGAACAAGAACTATCATGCAACTCATAACTTTGACCTCATTTTTCACTTCATTGCAAGCATTTTTCTTTCACAAGTTTTTCTATATTTGGCTGCAAAGGTGATATTCCAAGTCGGAGGATGGCATCCAAGTGCTTATCAGTAATGCGTGTTCGGTACTTAGATTTATTTATCTCATCTGAGAGAATGATTGTTCACACACATATGTACTTCCAAACTGAACAGCCCAAAAGCATGCATTGTAATGAATATGTGGTAGCTTTTTCTTGTCCACTCTCCCATAAAATTCAGCAAGACTGTGGTTGGCAAAAATTGCTTGAACAGAAGAGTTGGCCTGAATGTCAAGTATTTCTAGCTGCATTTCTGCATCACTAAACTCCCCAGCATTCACGAGGAAGGGATTTTCAAAGATAGGCTCTGTTCTCTTCCATGAAGATCCTGAAAGTGTTTTTCAGAGTTTTCCTTCAAGTCTTCACTTTGCTTGACAAATCTGCTGTAGGAAAAAGAAACAAAATATGAAACCTGGACTGAACCCGTATACTGGCGAAGCCTCGCGCAAGCGGTGGTTAGCGGGTTTGATGCGACCGTCATGTGTACAAAGTTTCCCTACAAATCTTAGATATTCTTTTCATTTCAAAGGATTGACTGCACATCAATTCTACATATAGTTAGTCATAGCTATAGATAAACCGAGTTACTAAAATGAGAAGTATAATTCATGATTTCAACAAAGTGGAGAGGGTCCAACAGCGTACACCAGTTCTCCTCGTCTGTTTAGCCCATGTTGCAACATTTGGCTGCTGCCTTTGTTCAGATGCCAGTAATGACTGCAGCTTCGTTTTTTAATTATTTTGTGATTTCGAATTATAAGCATTTTCCCTTTACAATACCTGTAGTGTTATTACTAGCATTAATAATATAAATTCAATTATTGCCACAATGATGTAAAGATCATTTCGGAATTTACTGACTCATTCGTATCTGCATTTTTCCTTCATATCTATTTCTATAAAAATTTCATGGGCTGATAAATTTAACATCACCTCTGCTTTAAGTATACTGTATTAAAATACTTTGAGAGGTTAGAGGTTGGAGGATATTTCATGGGTGTTGGGGGTGGCAGAATCCATAGTGAAAGCAATTCACATGAAGGTTGATAAGATTAGGGAATGTGATCAAAGTTTAATTTATTTATATGCAAGTAAAATTGAAGAAAGAAGTGCAGAAAAGAAAGATTTGAACATTAGATAAAAACGAGAAAACACTCCAAAAGCATATCTTTTTCAGTGATCTGAAACCAGATAGAGGTGTAAATTTAAAAAAAAGTAACATTTAGTGCTAGCCGAACTTGGTTTGCTGGGTTTAAAAAATGCTAAATTTGTATCATGAAAATTAAAGGTGAAGTGAAGTAAAGTCTCTCTGACTCCACCCTTTGTCGTCTTTTGTACTTTTTTTTCCTACTAATGGCGAGTGATATTGTTCAGTTTTCATTGATCCTTTAAGGACAATTACCACAAGTAATGCATTATGCCTGACAGGATGACTCCTGCAACTGTTAGGTTATATGCCTGCCAGGGTGATTCCCGTAGGCACATATAACACAACAGTTGCAAGAATCACCCTGGCAGAAATAACACAACAGTTGCAGGAATCATCCTAGCAGGCATAACATAACAATTGCAGGAATCATCCTGGCAGGCATAACACAACAGTTGCAGGAATCATCCTAGCAGGCATAACATAACAATTGCAGGAATCATCCTAGCAGGCATAACACAACAGTTGCATAATCAGTCTAGTGGGCACAATACAACAGTTGCAGGAATCATCCTGTCAGGCTGTCCACCACTGTTGTGGACAGACATGTCTCTCGGCACTCCTACATAGTAGCCTAGGGATCAACATCTGATTCCCCTTCCCCTCCCCAGCACTTCGAGTTGATCAAAAGCGTCAATTTCAACTGAAAGAGAATAGAAAACAATAACGGTGATTGAACATGGCTCTGAGACAGTAAGGTGGAATGTGGAAACTCTGGCTTTTATCAAGTCAATGTTTACGAGACCAGACAGGGGATAGCTACCATACCTACTTTAAGAACCAACTATTGAGTCTGCCTAAAACCATGTGTTCCCTCTGCAACACCAGTGGGGAGACGGTCTACAACCACATGTCCCCCCTACAACACCAGCGGGTGGATGGCCTACATGTGTCCCACCCCTTACAACACCAGCGAGGAGATGGCCTAGTGAGCTTTTGGCAGGTAATGTGTCATGGTTGATAAGGTGTTTGGCTACATAAAGGAAAGCCCCGGATATGACAACATAAGAGAGGAGGGGGCATGAGTTGCTGTTACTGTACTTGATGTCACCCACCTCTTCCCACTACCATTCTTGAAAAATAAATCAATATTAATTTTGAAGAAAATAAATTAAGAATGAATTGTTACTTGACCACTTACACCTCTAACCACTACCGTTCTAGAAAACACAACAAAAAACAACACAAGTACATTACATTATTAGAACAGCAGCAGAATGCAGTGCAGTTTTTGTTCATATTAGGAACAATAATCATACCATGGATTGGAACAACAGTATAAATGTTTTTAAACCAACAAGTGTCACAGAAAGACATTTGGTTGAAGCAAGTCGAATTAGGGAAATGAATTCTGTAAACCTTAATGATAGTCAGTACAAAACTGGTGTTACATAAATTTATTTGTCAGTGGCATAAAGTTAAAAAAGTTTTAGAAATCATTTGAGTTGGAGGTAGGGTAGGGGATTAATGGGTCTCATGTTATTGACCTGACCTTACCTGTTGCAATGTCACCAATTTTTTATAAGCTCTTCTCTCATTTGCGGTGGAGGTGGTATGTGGATTGGTGGGTCTCTTGATATTCACCTGATCTGATGGTATGTAAGGTCACCCATTGTATATAAACTCTCAGTCCTAGTGAATTCAGTTGACTGAAGATATCTTGAATAAAGACGAAAGTTAAGGTGATCCGGTGTTTCCCTTTTCCTGCTAGTTTTTATCAGAATTTATTACCGGTATTTCATATAATTTTGCCAAATTTACTCCTCACACGTACATCCAGGATGTCCATGGTCTTACTGGGCTGGTGTAGTATGCCAAACCTACTCACTCCCATTGTGTCACAGTGCTTCCGGTCAGTCTTGCAGCCACGTATATACAATGATATTTTTTATTTATATATTTATTTTTTAATAATATGAAAATAGCAGCAATGCAAATGAGACTAAAAATAAGATATATGAAATAAACATATGGATGTCTTTTTATTACATGCAGTACTGCTGCACACTCAAAGTCAAGGAGATATTTACCTTGGATTTTTACTAATATTATTTGCTTATATTGTACTCGGATTACTATGACAATATGCAGTATAAGAGGAAGGAAGAAGTGTGGGAGTCAGTGTAAATTATTTGTGATTATTTGTAAGAGTGAAAATAAGTAATACCTTGATACAACTTTATAGCTGGAGAGAGAGACTGCGTGTTTCTCCTGTCTTGTACAGTACAAGACGTGTGTATTTACCCCAGACCAGGCCAAGAGAGCCAACCTTCTCACTAAAAGGAAATAATAAAGGCCCTCACAGGGGCGACAGCACTCCAAGGGGCCGCGGCGTTCCCAGGGACCCACCCAGGGGCGGCGGCATCCCCAGGGACCCACCCAGGGGCAGCGGCATCCCCAGGGACCCACCCAGGGGCGGCGGCGTTCCCAGACACCCATCCAGGTGCGAGGACGTCCCCAGGGACCCTCCCAGTGGTGGCGTCGCCCCCAGATACCCTACCAGGGAGGCGACGCCCCCAGGGGCCCTCTCTGAGGCTTCGGCACCCCAGGGGACCTCTTTGGGACTTTGGCGCACCAGGGCCCCTCTCTGGGGCTGCGGTGTCCCCAGGGGCCCTCTCAAGGGCGGCGGCGTCCCTAGGAGCCCTCCCAGGGGTGGTGGAGCCCCCAGGGGTCCTTGGGCCGTGGCACCTCCAGGGACCCTCCCAGAGGTGATAATGCCCCCAGGGTCCCTCCCAGAGGCGGTGACGCCCCCAGGGACCATCCCGGAGATCCTCGCATGGCTGAAGGTGCCCCCACGGGTCCTCCTAGTGGCGGCGGTGCTCTGAAGAGCACCGACGCCCCCGGAGACTCTTTCAGTGATGGTGGTGCCCTCAGAGAACCTCCTAGGGGCGGTGACGCCCCCAGGGACCATTCCAGGGACCCTCCCAGGGAAGGCGACGCCCGTAGAATCCCTCCCAGAGACTGCGGCTTCCCCATGGGGCCTCCCAGCGGCGACGGCGCCTCCAGGGGCCCTCCCAGCGGCGACGGCACCCCCAGGGGCTCTCTTATTGGCAGCGACGCCTCCAGAAACCCTCACACAGACGGCGCCGCCCTCAGGAGGCGTTCCATGGAACGACGAGCCCCCAGGGGCCCCCAGCGGTGGCTGCGCCCCCAAGGACCCTCCCAGTGCCGGCTCCTCCAATAACTCTACGAAGGGCCCCTTGGGGCCTTAGGGCATGCTTGGTCATTGTGTCACATATATTACATACTTCCAGCAGAAGCTTACTTAACTATGATTGGTGGATTATTCTTTTAATAGACCAAATTACAGCCAATAGAAGAGAGCAGTCAGTCAGTACAACACCACAACTAATGTTTTCTTGTTTGATATTATTCTCCAATACGTTGTTTAGGATGCAGTGATACTGGAAATATGATGGGCGGTGCATTTATTTAACGTTACATCTCCCAGAGTTATATATAGCGCAAAAAGTACTGCATCCAAGGGCCATAAAGATCTGGCATTCACAGGGACCCTCCAAGGGGCGGCGGCGCCCCCAGGGTCCCTCCCAGCGAGGGCGGTGCCCCCAGGGGCCCTCCCAGTGGCGACGGTACCCCGAAGAGACCTACCAGGGGTGGTGAACTTCCCAGGGGCCCTCCCAGAGGCAGCATCTACCCCAGGAACCCTCTTACGGGCGGTGGCGCTTCCAGGGACCCTCACAGGGGTGTTGGAGGCCCAAGGTGACTCTCTCAAGGGCGGTGGCGTCCCCAGGGTCGAGGACGCCCCCAGGGACCATCCCAATGACCTTCCCAGGGGCGGTGGCGCCCCCAAAAACACTTCCAAGGTTGGCATTGCCCACAGGGAACGTCCCAGGGGCAACGAATCCCCAGCAAACCTTCCTAGAATCGGGGGCGCCACTAGGGGGCATTCCTAGGGGCGATGACGCCCCCAAGGACCCTCCGAGCGGCAGCGGAATTCCCAGGGGCCATCCCAAAAGTGGTGGAGCACCCAGGGGCCTTCCCAGTGGCGGCGGCACCCCCAGATACCCTGCCAGGGGCGGCAACGCCCCAGGGAACCGAATTGGGGCTTTGGGGGACCAGGGGCCCTCTCTGGGGTTTCGGCGACCCCAGGGGCCCTCTCAAGGGCAGCAGCATTCCCAGGAGTCCTACCAGGGATGGTGGAGCCCCGAAGGGTCCTCCTAGGGGCAGCGGCGCCTCTAGGAACCCTCCCAGGGGTGATGGCGCCCCAGGATTCCTTTCAGGGCGGTGACGCCCCTAGGGAACATCCAGGGGACCCTTCTATGGGCGAAGGTGCCCCCATGTGTCCTAATACAGGCGGCAGCGCTATCAGGGCCAGCGACGCCCCCAGAAACCCTTTCAGTGACAGCGGCGCCCCCAGAGAACCTCCTAGGGGAGACGACGCTCCCAGGGACCATTCCAGGGACCCTCCTAGGGGAATCAACGCCCGCAGAATCACTCCCAGAGTCTGCAGCTCCCCCATTGGGCCTCCCACCGGCTATGGTGCCTCTAGGGGCCCTCCCAGTGGAGATGGAACCCCCAGGGGCTCTCTTGTGGGCAGCAACGCCCCCAGAAATCCTCCCAGAGACGTTGCCGCCCTCAGGGGGCGTCCTAGGGGAGACAGGGCCCCCTAGCGGCGGCTGTGACCCCAGGGACCCTCCCAGTGCCGGCTCCCTCAGGGACCATACCCATTGCCCCCTAGGTCCCTATGGCATGCTTGGATATTGTGTCATATATATATTACATACCTTCAGCAGATGCTTACTTAACTATGATTGGTGGATTATTCTTTTAATAGTCTAGATTACAGCCAATAGGAGAAGAGAGCAGTCAGTCAGTACAACACAACAACTTATATTTTCTTGTTTGAAAATATTCTCCAATACATTGCTCAGGATGCAGTGATACTAGAAATGTGATGGTCGGTGCATTTATTTATCGTTGCATCTCCCAGAGTTCAAAATAACTAAAAAACTACTGCACCTAATGGCCGTACAAGTCTGTCGCTCACAGGGGCGCTCCCAGGGTCATTTCCAGCAGGGGCGGTGCCCCCAGGGGCTCTTCTAGCGGGGGCGGTGGCCCCAGGGGTCCTCCCAGTAGCGACTGCACCCCCTGGGGACCTCCCATCGGCTCGGCACTCCCAGGGGTGGTGAATCCCCCAGGGGGCCGTCCCAAAGGCAGCGTCACCCCCAAGAACCCTCTCAGGAGCAGTGACGCCCACAAGAACCCTTTAAAAGGCGGTGGCGCCCCTATGGGCCCTCCTAGGGCCGGCGGCGCTGGTATGGGCCCTCCTAGTGGCAGTGGGTGCCTTTTCAGGGGCGGCAGGGTTTCTGCCAGGGGCGAGGGCGCCCCCAGGGGCCCTTCCACATGCAGCATTGCCCCAAGAACTTCATAGCTTTGTCGTACATTTTGCAGTCGTCCAGTAATCCCTTACTTAACCGTGATTGGGGGAGCAAGATGTAACGTCATTAAATTACAGCCAATAGGAGAACAGAGCAATCAGTCAGCACAACACCCCAACTTATGCTTTGCTGTTGGATATGTATTCTCGTTTCACTGTTTAAACTCTGGGAGATATGACGGTCAATAAATAAACACTGCCCATAGCATTTTCAGTATTATCGCAACCTGAACAATGAAAAGGAGAATAAATATCCAACAGTAAAACATAAGTTGGGGTGTTGTGCTGACTGATTCCTCTGTTTTCCTACTGACTGTAATTTGATGACATTACCTCTCAATCCACCAATCACAGTTAAGTAAGAGATTACTGGAAGAACGCAATATGTACGACACCACTATCCATTGTTTTGGGGCGCTGCCTCCCCTAGGAGGACCTAATGTGAGCCACAGGCTTTGGCAGGGTCCATAGGAGCAGTGGCGCCCCTTAAAGAGACCTTGGGGGAGCCACCGCCTCTGGAAGGGCCCTGAAGGCGTCACCGCCGCTGGCAGGGCCTCTGCGAGTACCACGGTCCCTCGGAACGTACCTGGAGGCGCCCCCGTCCCTGGAAAGGCCCCAGAGATCATGGCTGTTCCTATGAGGGCACCTAGGGTTGCCAGTGCCCATAGCAGGACCCATGGGGGCGCCGCCGTCCCTGTGAGGGTCCCTAGGAGCATTGCCGTCCTTGAGAGGCCCATGGAAGCTCGGCTGTACCTGGAGGAGCCCCTCTCGACCCCGCCTTCCCTGAGAAGGCCCCTAGGATTACAGTTGTTCCTAAGACCACCCCTGGTGGATCCAGCGCCCCTGACAGGTCCCCTGGGGGCACCGCCGACCCTGAGAGGGCCCTAGGGGCGCCTCCGTGCCTGGCATGGCCAAGTGACTCTCACAGGGATAGCGGCGATCCCAGGGTCCCTTACAGGGACGGGGGCGCCTTTAGGGGTGTTCCCAGGGACGGCAGCGCCTTCGGGGGTGTTCCCAGGGACGGCAGCGACCACAGGGGCCCTACCACAGCGGTGGCGCATTCAGAGGCCCTTGCAGAGGCGGTGTCTCCCCTAGGGTCCATCTATGGGGCGCCTCTGCCCCCAAGGACCCTGCCAGGGGCTGTGGCGCCATTATGGGCCCTCCTAGGGCCGGCGAGGCTGGTATGGGCCCTCCTAGTCGCAGTGGGTGCCTTTCCAGGGGCGGCAGGGTCTCTGCAAGGGGCGACGGCGCCCCCAGGGGCCCTTCCACATGCAGCATCGCCCCAAGAACTTCATAGCTTTGTCGTACATTTTGCATTCGTCCAGTAATCCCTTACTTAACTGTGATTGGTGGAGGAAGATGTAACGTCATCAAATTACAGCCAATAGGAGAACAGAGCAATCAGTCAGCACAACACCCCAACTTATGCTTTGCTGTTGGATATGTATTCTCGTTTCACTGTTTAAACTCTGGGAGATATGACGGTCAATAAATAAATAGACACTGGCCATATAATTTTCAGCATTATCGCAACCTCAACAATGAAAAGGAGAATAAATATCCAACAGTAAAACATAAGTTGGGGTGTTGTGCTGACTGATTCCTCTGTTTTCCTATTGACTGTAATTTGATGACATTACCTCTTATTCCATCAATCACAGTTAAGTGAGAGGTTACTGTAAGAAAGTAATATGTACGACACCACTATCCATTGTTTTGGGGCGCCAACTCCCCTAGGAGGACCTATTGTGAGCCACAGGCCTTGGCAGGGTCCCTGGGAGCAGTGGCACCCCATAAAGAGGGCTGGGGGGAGTCACCGCCTCTCGAAGGGCCCCTGAAGGCGCCACCGCCGCTGGCAGGGCCTCTGGGAGCACCACGGTTCCTATGAACGTACCTGGAGGCGCCCCCGTCCCTGGAAAGACCCCAGGGATCTTGACTGTCCCTGTGAGGGCACCTAGGGTCGTCAGTTTCCCTAGCAGGGCCCCAGGGGGCGCCGCCGTCCCTGTGAGGGTCCCTAGGAGCGTTGCCGTCCCTGCGAGGGTCCCTTGGAGCGTCGCCATCCCTGAGAGGCCCATGGAAGTTTGGCTGTTCCTGAAGGAGCCCCTCTCGAAGCCGCCTTCCCTGAGAAGGCCCCTAGGATTACAGTTGTTCCTAAGACCATCCCTGGTGGATCCAGCGCCCCTGACAGGTCCCCTGGGGGCACCGCCGACCCTGAGAGGGCCCTAGGGGCGCCTCCGTGCCTGGCATGGCCAAGTGACCCTCACAGGGCTAGCGGCGATCCCAGGGTCCCTTACAGGGATGGGGGCGCCTTTAGGGGTGTTCCCAGGGACGGCAGCGCCTTCAGGGGTGTTTCCAGGGACGGCAGCGACCACAGGGGCCCTACCACAGCGGTGGCGCATTCAGAGGCCCTTGCAGAGGTGGTGCCTCCCCTAGGGTCCATCTATGGGGCGCCTCTGCCCCCCAAGGACCCTGCTAGTGGCTGTGGCGCCATTATGGGCCCTCCTAGGGCCGGCGAGGCTGGTATGGGCCCTCCTAGTCGCAGTGGGTGCCTTTCCAGGGGCGGCAGGGTCTCTGCCAGGGGCGACGGCGCCCCCAGTGGCCCTTCCACATGCAGCATCGCCCCAAGAACTTCATAGGTTTGTCGTACATTTTACATTCGTCCAGTAATCCCTTACTTAACTGTGATTGGTGGAGAAAGATGTAACGTCATCAAATTACAGCCAATAGGAGAACAGAGCAATCAGTCAGCACAACACCCCAACTTATGCTTTCCTGTTGGATATGTATTCTCGTTTCACTCTTTAACCTCTGGGAGTTATGATGTTCAATAAATAGACACTGCCCATAGCATTTTCAGTATTATCTCAACCTGAACAATGAAAAGGAGAATAAATATCCAACAGTAAAACATAAGTTGGGGTGTTGTGCTGACTGATTCCTCTGTTTTCATATTGACTGTAATTTGATGACGTTACCTCTTATTCCACCAATCACAGTTAAGAAAGAGATTACTGGAAGAACGCAATATGTACGACACCATTATCCATTGTTTTGGGGCGCCGACTCCCCTAGGAGGACCTATAGTGAGCCACAGGCCTTGGCAGGGTCCCTGGGAGCAGTGGCGCCCCATAAATAGGCCTGCGGGGAGTCACCGCCTCTGGAAGGGCCCCTGAAGGCGCCACCGCCGCTGGCACGGCCTCTGGGAGCACCATGATCCCTAGGAATGTACCTGGAGGCGCCCCCGTCCCTGGAAAGGCCCCAGGGATCATGGCTGTCCCTGTGAGGGCACTTAGGGTCGTCAGTTTCCCTAGCAGGGACCCAGGGGGCGCCGCCGTCCCTGTGAGGGTCCCTAGGAGCGTTGCCGTCCCTGCGAGGGTCCCTTGGAGCGTTGCCATCCCTGAGAGGCCCATGGAAGCTCGGCTGTTCCTGAAGGAGCCCCTTTCGAAGCCGCCTTCCCTGAGAAGGCCCCTAGGATTACAGTTGTTCCTTAGACCACCCCTGGTGGATCCAGCGCCCCTGACAGGTCCCCTGGGGGAACCGCCGACCCTGAGAGGGCCCTATGGGCGCCTCCGTGCCTGGCATGGCCAAGTGACCCTCACAGGGATTGCGGCGATCCCAGGGTCCCTTACAGGGACGGGGGCGCCTTTAGGGGTGTTCCCAGGGACGGCAGCGCCTTCAGGGGTGTTTCCAGGGACGGCAGCGACCACAGGGGCCCTACCACAGCGGTGGCGCATTCAGAGGCCCTTGCAGAGGCGGTGTCTCCCCTAGGGTCCATCTATGGGGCGCCTCTGCCCCCCAAGGACCCTGCCAGGGGCTGTGGCGCCATTATGGGCCCTCCTAGGGCCGGCGAGGCTGGTATGGGCCCTCCTAGTCGCAGTGGGTGCCTTTCCAGGGGCGGCAGGGTCTCTGCCAGGGGCGACGGCGCCCCCAGTGGCCCTTCCACATGCAGCATCGCCCCAAGAACTTCATAGGTTTGTCGTACATTTTACATTCGTCCAGTAATCCCTTACTTAACTGTGATTGGTGGAGAAAGATGTAACGTCATCAAATTACAGCCAATAGGAGAACAGAGCAGTCAGTCAGCACAACACCCCAATTTATGCTTTGCTGTTGGATATGTGTTCTCGTTTCACTGTTTAAACTCTGGGAGATATGACGGTCAATAAATAGACACTGGCCATATCATTTTCAGCATTATCGCAACCTGAACATTGAAAAGGAGAATAAATATCCAACAGTAAAACATAAGTTGGGGTGTTGTGCTGACTGATTCCTCTGTTTTCCTATTGACTGTAATTTGATGACATTACCTCTTATTCCACCAATCACAGTTAAGTGAGAGGTTACTGTAAGAAAGTAATATGTACGACACCACTATCCATTGTTTTGGGGCGCCAACTCCCCTAGGAGGACCTATTGTGAGCCACAGGCCTTGGCAGGGTCCCTGGGAGCAGTGGCACCCCATAAAGAGGGCTGGGGGGAGTCACCGCCTCTCGAAGGGCCCCTGAAGGCGCCACCGCCGCTGGCAGGGCCTCTGGGCGCACCACTGTTCCTATGAACGACTGGAGGCCTGTCCCTCGGAAAGACCCCAGATCTTGGACTGGTCCCCTGTGAGGGCACCTAGTGTCGCTCGCTTCGGCTAGCAGGGCCCCAGGGGCGCCGCCGTCCCTGTCAGGGTCCCTAGGAGCGTTGCCGTCCCTAAGAGGCCCATGGAAACTCGGCTGTTCCTGGAGGAGCCTCTGAAGACGCCGTCTTCCCTGAGAAGGCCCCTAGGATTGCCGTAGTCCCTAAGAGCGCACCTGGTGTATCCACGGCCCCTGACAGGTCCCCTGGGGGCATCGCCGATCCTGAGAGGGCCCTGGTGGCGCCTCCGTGCCTTGCATGGCCAAATGACCCTCATAGGGATAGCGGTGATCCCTGCTACCCTTACAGGGACGGGGGCGCCTCAGGGGTGTTCCCAGGGACGGCGACGCCCACAGGGTCCCTGCCACAGCGGTGGCGCCTTCAGGGGCCCTTCCAGAGGCGGTGTATCCCCAGTGTCCCTCTGTAAGGCACCACTGCCCCCAAGGACCCTGCCAGGGGCCGTGGCGCCCCCATGGGCCCTCCTAGGGCCCGCGGCACTGCTATGGGCCCTCCTAGTCGCAGTGGGTGCCTTTCCAGGTGTGGAAGGGTCTCTGCCAGGGGCGACGGCGCCCCCAGGGGCCCTTCCACATGCGGCATCGCCCCCAAAAATTCATAGTTTTGTCATACATTTTGCTTTCGTCCAGTAATCCCTTACTTAACTGTGATTGGTGGAATAAGAGGTAACGTCATCAAATTAAAGCCAATAGGAGAACAGAGCAATCAGTCAGCTCAACACCCAAACTTATGCTTTGCTGTTGGATATTTATTCTCGTTTCACTATTTAAATTCTGGGAGATATGACGTTAAATAAATACACCGCCCATCGCATTTTCGGTATTATCGCAACCTGAACAATGAAAAGGAGAACAAATATCCAGCAGCAAAACATAAGTTGCGGTGTTGTGCTAATTGATTACTCTGTTTTCCTCTTGGCTGTTATTTGATGACGTTACCTCTTGTTCCACCAATCACAGTTAAGTAAGAGATTACTGGAAGAATGCAATGTCTATGACACCACTATCCATTGTTTTGGGGCGCCGCCTCCCCTAGGAGGACCTATTGTGAGCCACAGGTCTTGGCAGGGTCCCTGAGAGCAGTGGCGCCCCATAAAGAGGCCTGAGGGAAGCCACCGCTTCTGGAAGGGCTCCTGAAGGCACCAC